AGCACTTACTGTGTGCTAGGCATCGTGGTAAGCAGAATCTCTAACTCACAGAACTCTAGTCACTAGCTTATCTTCCAAAGATGGCCACGACAATATCTCCCTTCTAAAATCTTTCCACTCCTCATCAAGGCATGCAGTCGGATTCTCCTACCCACAAATCTGACAACCAGTTTGGAAGCCAGCGGAAGGGACGCTGTGTGGGCTTTGAGGCTCATAGGAAAGATATTGCAGTTCCCGTGCTGGTCCTGGGACATCCACTCCCAAAACCTTTGGCCGCCGCCGCATAGCAGCCCAGCTGTCCCGAGGCCAGCTGGCTACAAGGAAGCCTCTTGCAGATGCCACATGGACAGCTGTGGGATTACCGGAAGGAAGATGGACAGATGCCTGCCCAGCCTGCTGGTGCTCTGGCCCCCAGTGTTCTAGCCAAAGCCTTTGACCTGGAGGCAGGGCCTCCCAGCTGAGCCCACGCTGCATTTAAGACCTATGTAAACCATGAGTGAAAAACACATGATGGGCTGGCGCCACGGCTCAATAGGCTAATCTTCCGCCTGTGGCGCCGACACACCGGGTTCTAGTCCCGGTCGGGGCGCCGGATTCTGTCCCGGTTGTCCCTCTTCCAGGCCAGCTCTCTGCTGTGGCCTGGGAGTGCAGTGGAGGATGGCCCAAGTGCTTGGGCCCTGCACCTGCATGGGAGACCAGGAGAAGCACCTGGCTCCTGAGCTTCAGATCAGCGCGGTGCGCCAGCTGCAGCACGCTGGCTGCAGTGGCCATTCTAGAGAAGACCTTTCTCTCTGTCTCTCTCTCTCACTGTCCACTCTGCCTGTCAAACACACACACACACACACACACACACGCTGGCCATTGCTTTACACCATCATATTTGAGGCCATTTGTTACTTAGCAACAGTCACCAGGACCGGGAGACCGAGCTATTATGCCCATTATATAGATGCACAAACTGACACTCAGCAAGGCGAAATTCCTAGCCCATCCCACCACTGCCAAGAGTGAGAATGAGATTTGAGCTGGGGTTTGTGCTAAGCTCACACTTTTAAGTACACCCTCACCAGACAGCGTGTGAACGCGCACACAATCACACATGCACAAGTCTGGTTGCAGGATTCTTAGCTTTAGGAGGGGCATGTGCATATTATTTGCAGTCCTGTGTGGGTCGCAGGCGTGCCGCGGGTGAACGGGCCCCTTGCTGTACATGCACTAGAGCGACAAGCAGTCAGCCAGCATCTGGGCTGGCCAAGCTCAAAGCCAGCTCCGCTACTTTCTTGGGCAGGGAGCTTTGGCAGTCTGTGCATCTGTTTGTTTATTTGGAAAGGCAGAGAGAGGAGAGAGAGAGAGAGGAGAGAGGAGAGAGACAGAGAGAGGAGAGAGGAGAGAAAGAAGAGAGAGGACAGAGAAGAGAGGAGAGAGGGGAGAGGAGAGAGGGGAGAGGGGAGAGGGGAGAGGGGAGAGGAGAGAGATCTTCCATCTCCTGATTCACTCCTCAACCTTAATGCCCTCAACCACCAGGTCTGGGCCAGCCTGAAGCCCAGAACTCCACCAGGGTGTCCCCACACGGGTGGCAGAGACTCGAGCACTGGCCATCATTGCCACCTCCCTACCAAAGGCTCACCCCAGGTTCCTCACTTGTACAATGATAGTGCCTCTCTCACAGTGGTTCTAGGAGGATTAAATGACTTACTAGATGTAAAACACTTGGTGAAGACTTGGTAAACACCACCCTTACTGCCGTCCACACCCCACCTCCTGCTCACAGGATCACAAGTCCTCCCTGGGGCATTGGCTGTCACACCCAGCGCGGTGCCGTCTCTAGGGAGCAGGCGTTGGTGCAGCAGTTAAGAGGTCCCTTGAGACAACCAGATCCCATCCTAGAGTGACTCCAGCTTCCTGCTAATCAGCAGGGGAGGGTTCAAGTGCTTGAGTCCCTGCCACCCACGTGGGAGACCTGGGTTGAGTTCCCGGCTCCCTGATGTGGCTGGCATTTGGGACATAAATCAGTGGATGGAAGACATCTCTTTCTCTTTCTGCCTTCCAACAAATGACAATAAGGCGGGCACCAGGGCTCACTTGGCTAATCCTCCGCCTGCAGCCCCGGCACACGGGGTTCTGTCCCAGTTGCTCCTCTTCCAGTCCAGCTCTCTGCTGTGGCCCGGAAAGGCAGTGGAGGATGGCTCAAGTGCCTGGGCCCTGCACCCGCATGGGAGACCAGGAGGAAGCACCTGGCTCCTGGTTTCTGATCGGCGCAGCGCGCTGGCCGTAGTGGCCGTTTGGGTGGTGAACCAACAGAAAGGAAGACCTTTCTCTCTGTCTCTCTCTCTCACTGTCTAGCTCTGCCTGTCAAAAAAAAAAAAAAAAAAGACAATAAAAAAATAAGCTTTGCAGTCTAAATAGAGGGCAGAGGGCTGGGAGGCGTAGTTCTGCCCACTGGGCTGAGTCTCTGGGCCCCAACAGCCTCCCCTTACGTAACAACCCTTCGTCCACTTCTGCCCTGGCCTTGGCAGGCTCTGGGTCACAGGTCTGCATGGCGGGGTGTGTGTGTGCATTTTGCTCCACGGCTGCAGGAGGGTGAGTGTCTAGAGCTAAAGGCCACTGTCTAAGCCCCCAAGGTCAGGAGTACTTAAAGAGGCTTAACTTGAAACTGTAATCTGGTAATCTGGGCGAGGGCTGGGGGAGGAAGCACTAAGGAAGTGAGGGTTCCATCCCAGGAAAGCAGAAAGCCACGACCCCGCCGCCCTGGGCTTTCTCTTTGCTTTTTAGCACTTGTCATCCCGAGCGGGGCAGCTTCTTTTGACCTGTGTCTCTCTGTCTTTGCTCCCCTTCTCCACGCGGCCACCACCCAGGGCCGCGAATTTTCTCTCTTCAGTTCACGCCTGTGTTTCTAGCAGCCCGTGGGTGCTCAGGGACTATCTCTTGAGCGGATTCATAGAGAGACAGGTGGAGAGGGGCGCTTCCTGCCCTGCATCCCCCGCCCCCGTCCCCAAGCGCAGCCCCAAGGGAGCTGAGATCCTAGGAAGCCACGCCCCCCGCTGCGGTCTCAAAGCCCCGCCCCGAGCCCCTTACCCTGGTAGCGCTGCTTGGGGTCCCGAGCCAGCTGCACCGCCAGCTCCAGGCCTATGCCCGAGGAGCAGCCGGACACCAGCACCGTCCGGGCTGAGGAGGCCATGTTGATCCCCTGCCTGGACACATGACCCCTGCCATCCACGCTCCACGCTCCCGCTCCGTCTTAAGCACCTCCTGTCTGGTGGCCAGGAGCTTCCGGGACTCCCCTCCCACTCTGGCTGAGTCTGAATGGGCAGCCGAGGGTGTGGTGGGGGCGAAATCCTCACCCTCTCTACGCCTGCGCCCTTCATGACGGGTGTTTTTTTATTCTGATTTTTAAATATATTTTAAATTTTATTTTCACTTTATTTTTTATTTTGAAGGTAGAGAGGTGAGACAGAAAGACAGAAAGAGAGAGAGAATGAATCTTCCACTCGCTGGTTTCCGTAAAGGCCTGCAACAGCTAAGGCTGGGCCAGGTGAAAGCCAGGCGTTCCATCCCAGTCTCCCATGTGGGTGGCTGGGAGCCAAGTACTTGAACCATGGCCATGCCTCCCAGGGTGCGCGTTAGCAGGGAGCTGGAGCCAGGACGAGAACCAGGCACTGCAGTAAGGGATGTGAGTGTCCCAAGTGGTGTCTTAAACTCCACGCCGATCACCTGCCCCTTCAATCCCGATTTTGATGATGATCGTACTTTGTCCAAGGCCGAGAGAGTTTCACAGAGCGTGAGGAACAAGTGGGGCCATCATTCTCTTCTTGTGTCCTCTCTGGTTGGAGGGAGAGAGACAGAAGGTGACGGACAGGGTAGTCCCAGAAGGATCCTTTCAAAAAGAGAGTTCTTAAAGAACCATAGAAGGCTACAGCTAGACCACAGCAGGTTAGACTACAGGGGGGACTTCTCAGCAAGGCAGGGCAGGGCGGAAATTTTGGGGGAGCCTTTTAATTGGAGAAGTCTCAGCCCAGCCTCCAGGGCCGTGGAAGGGAGGAGGAGGTGGCGCTTAGGGACATTGCCTCCCCTGGGAGGGGGGGCATTCTTTCTCAGGCCAGATGGGTCCCTACCCCCTCCCCCGCCCGCTGTTCGGGGACACAGAGACCCTTTGTCTGAAGGGTCAGAGACTGGGAGGCAGACGCTGCCTCCGTCTCCCTCTTCCCCGTGGGCCTCGGAGCCGCCCCTGTGGTTGCTCCCAGGGGAACCTCCCTGACATCCTGCCTGTGTGTGCTTGCCCTGCCTGCACCCTGGGGCCTCCTCACACTGGGGAGAGGGCAGTGGGGGTGACCCAGGGACAGCAAGAATCTGCCCCTCCTCTCCAGCAGCAGTGCCCGACTGCAAGGCACGGCCAGGCTCCCCTGTCTCATGGGATTGCGTGCCAGGATTTGGGACTGGGGCTGGAGCATTCATCTGGACCCTGGATTGGAGGTGGGTGGAGACAAGGAGAGGGGTGGGGAGGGGGAGGAGACCTTTTATTTGAGGATAGGAGCTTGGAGGGGGGGGGAGTGAGATCTATGTTTTGGAGTCAGTGGTAAGGGTTTGCAGGTGGGGCCCGGATACCCAGTTCTAGAAGTTAGGTAGAGAGGTGAAGGTTTGGGGCCAAGTTGGGAGCTCCTGCTGTTGTGGGATGTGGGGCGAGGGCCCTTTACTTAACGACCTGAGAAGGCCTGGGGGTGAGGCTGGGGCCCTTATTTGAAGCTATACCGCTCCCAGATTCCAGGGTGTGGATGGAGCTGACGCTAAGCTCTCCTTTGAGGGCATCTTAGCTAAGAAGAAAGGGTTTAGGGTCCGGCTGGGACCCCGGATTCTAGGACCCGGTAGAAGTGACCCTTCTGCTCCACTGTGGGGTGGGGCAGGAAAAGCCCAGCTCCCGCCCCGGGCTCCACCCCCGTCGGCCAATCAGCGCCCGGCACAAACTTTTGCCGCCCCCAGCTGTCACCACCCTCCCCCCCACCCCAGCGTGCCCCGCCTGGCCAGGCGCTGGAGCGCAGGGCGCGGCCAGGGCGGGGTGTCGGGCAGTCTCCCGCGGATGCCGAGTGCAGCCGACCGCCGCGAGCCACTGCACCGAGCTAGCCGAGGCGCCGCGCCCTGAAGCCGCCCCGTCCGGTCCCCCGCCTTGCGCAAGGGCGCCGCGGGGATGGGGAGTCGCCGGGGCCTGGGCCAGCTGCCGGCCGGCCTCTGTGTGCTCCTAGGCGCGCTGCAGCTCCTGACTCGGACGCAAGCCGGTGAGCCGGGAGGGAGGACATGGGACCCCCACGAAGTGCAGGAGTGAGCGAGACCCCCAAAGACAGAGTGGAGTCGGGAACGATGGGGCGTGCACAGGAGGGGGACGCGTGCGTGTTGCATGTGGCTGCGGTGTGATCTGGGGACACGAGTGTCCGACCCTGGGCAATTTATGGGGATGACAGCTGAGGAGGGCTGCAGAAACGTGTAATCCAGGTTCCGGGCGTGGGAGAGGGAATCCGGCTTGTGGGAGTGCGTGCGTGTGCACAGACATCTGGAGTGAACTCGCTCGCATGTGAGGGTTGACAGTGATTCTTGCATCTGGGTGACAAGGAGGCTGTATCTGCCCGTGTCTGGGGCTGAAGTTGAGACTAATTTTGTGCAATGTGTTACAGGTGTGGTCGTCTCTGGGTGACCCTGGGAGGGGTGTGGTTGTGATGTTGGGGTTGATGAGCGGGGAAGTGATGGTGATTGCAAGTGGGCATGGAAGGGGGCTCTTCGAGGGTCCACAATCCCCTCTGTGTCTCCCCAAAAGCTTCCCTTCATTCTCCCTCTTCCTCTTGTGCCCCAAATTGGTGCACGTTCACTTCCTGTGTCCCCCATCTCCCTCCCCTCCCCCACCCCGCGCTCCCCAGAGCCGGCGTCAGCACCATGGACAGGGCCTCCGGGAGGGCGGTGGCGAGGGGCGCGGCGGGGCGGGGCGCGGGGCGGGGGGGCGGGGCGCGGGGGGCGTGGGAGTGGAGGTGGCTTCCTCCTCCCCAGCCCCCAGCTGCGGAGAGTTCTGAATGTTTTTCCCCAGGAATTTCTCAGGGGGCCCCCAGGGGTCCCCGGGGCCGCCGGGGTGGTGAGTCAGCGCTGACGCACGCCCAGCTGTGCACAACTGGCAGGGCGCCCCGTCCCGCCCGGCAGGGCTCCGGGTAGGGGTGCCCCAGGAGTGCAGGGGACGAGGTGGACTGAGGGGGCCTCTCTGGGCTGAAGGATCCCAGGTTAGAGAGTCCAGGAAGTCCATCCCTAAGGTGAGCCTAGTTCCCCCGACACACCCGCCCCGCACTCTCTCATTTTTTCCGCTTCCGTGGGAATAATCCCAATTTGGACTACGCCGGTTCCCACGCTCCCACATCCACGTGGTGGTGCAGTCCCAGGCATCCATTCAGAATATATGCCTCCAGGGACTGCAAGAATGTGAAACACCTTGCCCACGCCCTGAAGCCACCTGCCACACCACCAGGCTTCTGTCACCCTCCCACGCTTTCAAATTCTCACATATGTTTTGCCTGGCTGCCGGACAAAGTCTGCTCAACACTCACATCACCCACCCACGGACCTGGTCACCCTCTCATGTGCAGTAAGCTCCCCGGTTATGAGTCTGAGCTGTTACAGTCCCAGGTTCACCTGCACCACCTGCAGGTGGGCAAGCTCACTGCCAGGGTCCCCACTCATCTGCACGCACACACACCTGTCAATCTGCCGCACTGAGCCCCCCTGCCATCACTGGCCAAGTACTTGCACACACTGACGCCTCTACAAGTGACACACCCAGCTGCTTCCTGGTCCATTCAGAATCTTACTTGCACAGTCTCACACATGTATATGCTGGTGCACCCATCTAGGGGCATCCCAGCCATGCCCCACCAGCCCAGTCCTTGCTCCGTCCCCAGCATCTCCCTGGGGGCCCCTGGCTGGTGCAGAGGAGACTGTGTGTGTGGCAGGAAAGGGTGGGCTGGGTCCCTGTCAGATGCCCCCCCCCCCAACCTCCTGGTTCTGCAGGCAGGACTCAATGCCTCTTGTGTGTGTGTCCTTGTCACGAAGCCAGCCGTGAAAAGAAAGGGAAGTCAGTTTCTGAAATGTCATTTACAGAGAGGCACAAGATGGAAGCAGGAGTCTTTGGTATTAGATGCAGGGAAGGACTTTTAAAGAGTGGTTGGGAGGAGCGGGGGCTGCTGGGTCGAGGCTGGGGTCTGGGTCTGGGTGGTGGTGCCTCCCTGTGGGGGTGAGAACTGGACCTCAGTCCTTCTCTGAGCCCCAGCCCTGGAGAGGGGGCAGCTGGGGTGATTGTTCTACAGGGAAGTGACCTTTGTGGTCAGTGGGGCCTGGGAGCTCAGATCTCTACCCCAGGGGGCTGTAACCCAAATACCTCTTAATGACAGCTCAGCCCCAGAATACGCAATTACAGACGGGGGCTGGGGGCAGTGGGGGTGGGGGCAAGTGTTGAGAGGTGGGAGGGAGAGACACAGATGAGAGAGAGAAAGAGAGAGAGAGAGATGTGCAAAGAGGCAGAGATGGGAGAACAAATCAAATACAGAGAGGGAGAGATTGATTCAGAGTTGGACACAGGGAGATGTGCAAAGAGGCACAGAAAGTGGGACAGGGAGAGGGTGGGAGGGGAGAGAGAGCAGAAGGAATTCTGGGCAAGAGGGGACACAGAGGCTGGAGCAGGGCGCCGTGCAGTTTGGAAAGTGAGGGCTCTGACCCAGGAGGAGCTGGGATGGGGTCCCTCATCCAAGCCCCCACCCCCACCCCAGCTCCCAGTGGTGAGTTTAGCACACCCACCCCCAGGGTGAGGTCATCGGCAGCATCTGGCTCCTGCCAAGGGGCAGGGTCAGGGGGTTAGTGGGCCAGTCTGGCCAGGGTCGGGGGATGGGCTCCGTCAGGGGATGGACGCTGAGAAGTCCCTCCACTGCTGGCCCTCACTTGAAGCATGTGGTTCCACTTAACACTGGCCTGGCTGCCTGGGGTGGGGCTGGTGGATGGCCTGGATTCAGATCTGTTGGGGCCGGACCAGTCCCTTCCCGTACTGGGATGAGAGAGAGGGAGAGGGTCCGAGGGAGGGGGTTATCAGAAAGAGGTGGTCAGAATGAGTGGTAAAGCGGGGAGGTCACCGGTCAGAAGGAGGAGACTGGGAGAGGCAGATGGAGGAGGTCAGAAGGGAAGTCAGAGGGAGGAGGCTGGGGGTCAGGCGGAGGAGATCAGAATGGGGGAAGCCAGAAAGAGCAGTTAATGAGGATGGTCAGAGAAAGAGTAATCAGGTCGAAGTCACCAGCGACAGAGAGCAAGGTAGAAGTCAGAAAGAAGAGGTGAGGGGTGGTGCTAGTCAGAGGGAGGAGGCAAGGGGTGATGGTGGTCAGAGAGAGGAGGTGGGGGAAGGACACCCCCCCCGGAGCCCCTCCTCGCCACGCCATGCGGGTTTCCCCTGGCAAGGGGGCGGGGTGCGGGAAGCAGCCCCAGGGAGCTGGTGCGGGGGAGGTGGGGAGAGGGGGACAGTTTGATTCTGGGGCTCAGGCCAGGAGGCTTTGATTCATCCTAGAACTGGGTCAGCTTTTTTCTCACCAAAAACCAAGGGGGAAAAAAAACCAGAGAAGTCAACAGGCTGATGTGGCCCGGCCGGAACATCTGTGGGATGGCGCGGGGGGGAGGGGGGAGATGCTGATCCCAGGCCGGTTCCTTTGTCATAAACACAGTGGCTGAGCCCCCCACAAACCCCAAACAGCGGCCGCACGTCCCAGGCCTGTTCTCACGGCCCCTCTGTGCCCCGGCTTCTCTCCACAGCTGACCCTGTGGATGTGCTGGAGGCCCTGGGGGTGCGCGGAGGTCAGGCTGGGGTCCCCAAGGGGCCTGGCTTTTGCCCCCAGAGGGCGCCCGATGGCGACCAGGCCTTCAGAGTGGACAGGGCCAGCGTGCTGGGTGCCCCCACGTTGCAGCTCTTCCCAGGTGAGTTGGGGCAAGAGGGGCTGCGGGCTACCCCAGAGGAAGCGCGGGTCCTGAGTGGCCATCCCCTCTGCCCACCCAGACGGGCACTTTCCTGAGAACTTCTCCATGCTGATGACCCTGCGGGCCCAGCCGGCCAACCAGTCTGTGCTTCTGTCCATTTACGACGAGAAGGGGGCCCGGCAGCTGGGCCTGGCGCTGGGGCCGGCTCTGGGCCTCCTAGGTGGTTCCTTCAGTTCCCTCCCTCAGCAGGTGCAGCTCACCGATGGCAGGTGAGCCTGGAGCCCCATGGGCGGGGGTGGGGTGAGCCGGTGAGAAGCACCCATGCTAACATTGACCCCTTCCTTGCAGGTGGCACCGCGTGGCAGTCAGTGTAGATGGCGGGACGGTAACCCTGGTGGCTGACTGCAAACCTTGGCCCCCCGTGTTGGGTCAGGGGCCTCGATTCATCAGCACGGCTGGACTCACTGTGCTGGGGACCCAGGACCCTGGGGAGGACGCTTTCGAGGTAGGGGCTCAGTGACGGGGGAAGCAGAGGCAGGGGCGGGGTGGGAAGTTTTGTCTGCTCTAGGTTGGACCTTCAGAGGGGATTGGATGAGGAGGATGATCCAAGCTTCTGATGGGGCAGCTGGGGGAAGGAAACACCGTGTGTCCTTGTGGCCTGGGCTTATGACACAGCAGAGCCTTTAGACCGTACAGGGTGCTGAGGGGAGGATGTGGCTGTGATGGTGTGCAGGGCTGTTGAGACATCGGGGGCTGGCGAGGCATGATGTCATCCGACTAATGTGTTTGTGGTGTGATGGCCGACACTGGTGACTGCTGGGTCACCTCCCAGAGGCCAGAGACCCTCATCTGTCCAGTGTCCCTCCTGGTCCCCACTACTACCAGGAGGGGCACCTGGCACAAAAGGGGGGGGTGCTTCAAAAAGTTTGTGGAAAATAGAAGGGGGAGATAAGTTAATCTTGATGCAAAAAGATAAATGTTTCCTAATTTAAGTTTGTTTGAGAGGCTGAGGAATGAGGAGAGAGAGGAAGAGAGACCAAGAGGCAGAGTTCTCTCATTTGCTGTTTTACTTCCCAAATGCCCACGATGGCTGGGGCTGGGTCAGGCCAAAGCTGAGAGCTGGGAACCCCATCCAGGCCTCCCACGTGGGTGACAGGGACACAACCACTTGAGCCATCACCTGCTGCCTCCCAGAGTGTGCATTAGCAGAAAACTGGAGTCAGAAGCAAGAGCCTAGACTCAAACCCAGGCACTCTGATACAGGATGTGGGTATGTTAAAAAAAATGCCCCAAATTGTAATCTATTTTATTTGAAAGGCAAAGAGGAGAGAGAGTGAGTGAGTGAGCAAGAAAGAGAGGAGAGAGAGAGAGAGGCTGACTCAGACAAAAAGAGAGAGATTACCCATCTGTTAGTTCACTTCTCAAATATTTACAACAGCCAAAGCTGGGCCAGACTGAAGCCAGGAGCTTGGAACTCCATCCTGGTCTCCCATGTGGATGGCAGGGGCCCAAGCACTTGAGATATCCCTGTTGCCTGCCAGGGTGTGAATTAGCAGGAAGCTGGAACTGGAAGCAGAGCCAGGGCTCAAACCCAGGCATTCTGAATAAGCAATGCTGGTGTCCCAAGTGATATCTTCAGCGCTGTGCCAAACGCCCAGCCCGATTTGAACATCTTATTAGTTGGGCCAAACATCCACCCCAAGGCTCACTAGTGATAGTGAGGATAAAATGTGCTACTGTGAGAATCACTGGGCAAGTGTGGCTGGAGTGACACAGGCGGAGAAGCCACGGGCACCGTGGGAGGCAAAACCCCCTTTTCCACAGACTTCTTGGTGTCCGTTCACGGCGACTGCTCACTGCACACCTGTCAGTGTGGAAACAGGTGCACCTGGAGTAGGGCAGTTTTGCGGGGCGTGGTTTGTGTCACGATGGTAGCATCTGCCCCGATCTTCGTGGCAGGGAGTAGAGACGTCATTGGGGCTGTGATGGGGTCACCTTCTCCCTATAGGAGGCGATTTCAGAAAGCTTATAGAAAGTAGAATGAAATGGTAAGTTTGTCTTGGTGTCAGACAATTGAAATTCATGCATAGGATTGGTCTTCAAGGCCGGCACCGTGGCTCACTTGGCTAATCCTTCACCTGCGGTGCCGGCACCCCAGGTTCTAGTCCCGGTTGGGGCACTGGGTATTAGTCCCAGTTGCTCCTCTTCCAGTTCAGCTCTCTGCTGTGGCCAGGGAGTGCAGTGGAGGATGGCCCAAGTGCTTGGGCCCTGCACCCACATGGGAGACCTGGAGGAAGCACCTGGCTCCTGGCTTCGGATTGGCGCAGCGCCGGCCGTAGCGGCCATTTGGGGAGTGAACCAATGGAAGGAAGACCTTTCTCTCTGTCTCTCTGTCTCCTCTCTCTCACTGTCTAACCCTGCCTGGCAAAAAAAAAAAAAAAAAAAAAAAAGGTCTTCAAAAAGTTCATGAGCAACATATGATGAAAAAACTATGCAATGGATTTCAAAATGTTTGGCACCAAATAAGCTTACCTTTTACGTCCCTTTTTCCACCAAATCTCTGTGGTTCTGTCATATACTCAGGGGCCTCCGGGTGGGGTGCCAAGGAGGGAGGAGGGGGGCAGGGCTATGCTGGGAAATGCAGGCCAGAAGCAGCCCCCAGCCTCTTCCCCCACTCCCTCCCTCTCCCAGGGAGACATCCAGGAGCTTCTCATAAGTCCAGATCCCCAGGCTGCCTTCCGGGCCTGTGAGCAGTACCTCCCCGGCTGTGACAACCTGGATCCCACAACCACAGGGGTGAGTGAGCGTCTGGCTGCATTCCTCCCGACCTGAGGTCACAGGCTGAGTCACCCCTGGCTCCAGGTCCCGGGAGGGAGTGGATTCTGACTCTTATACATGGGACTGTGCAACCTCCGACCCCAGATTCAAGGCAGAGTGACCCCTCACTTCAAATACATCCCAGGCGGGAGTGGCCTTGACATCCAGGTCAGGTGGTTGTGGTTGTCCTTGATCCCCAAAGACACCCCCTGCTGGACCACATGTCACTGTGGCTGCTGCTGGCCCGAGCAGTGGGGCTGCACTGGGCAGATGCTCTTGGCCTGAGCGGGACCCTCTTCCCAGGCCCCCCAGGGTGAGCCGGAAACTCCTCCTCCTCGACGCAAGGGGAAGGGGAAAGGCAGGAAGAAGGGGCGAGGTCGCAAGGGAAAGGGCAGAAAGAAGAAGAATCAGGAGACCTTGACCATGAGTCCACCTCCTGGCTCCCTGGAGAACCAGGTAAGGCACCTGCACCTCTCCCTTCCGGCCTCCGGTTCCCACTGATCTTGGCCCCTCGTCCATGGTCTTTGCTCTGGTTGCCAATCCTTGAACTCTGGCTTATCTCAGCTGATGGACGACCTTGGTGGTGGTAGCGTGTGGTCCTGTCTTATGAGATCTTCCATCTCTGTGCCCCCAACCCCCAGTCTTAGAGAGAATGCAAGGAGGTACCCAGTTGAGTACCTTCTTAGTAGGGCATTCTTGGTAAGGGCTACTATTTAAGGGGACATCCCTGGCTGGAGTGAATGGTGGGAATCATTGGTTAGTATGGGGAGCACTGGTTGGGGCCATTGGTCAGGGTTTTTCATTGGGGGAGTCACAAATTGAGGGCCCTATTTGACCTTGCTGGTATGCATTGCTGATTGGAGATCACTGAGGGAGTTATTAACTGGGGTCAATATTGGGGGAATTGCTTGTTGGGGTTCACTGTTGGAGGTCATTGATGGAGCCCCTTGGTGGTGCCCCTCATTTAGGGTTAATGGTTGAGGGCCATTAGGTGGGGAGTTGTTTGGAGAATCATCAATTGCAAGGACTATTGGGATTATAACTTGGAGTCAGTACAGGGTGATTTTTGGGTGGTCACGGATGGGTTCATTAGTTTGAGTCCCTGATGGGTTATCAGTTAGAAAGCCACTGGTTCGCGGATTACTGTTTGTGGGGTCTTTGGTTGGTGAGCATTCGTTGGGCTCAGTTTTGGGGATTTTTTGCAGGAGGATCATTGGTTGGGGAGTAACTGAGTAGTGTTTATTGGTTGGGCTTATTCGTTGAAGGATCACTAGTTAGTGCTTTTGGTAAGAGGGTTGTCACTGGTTGGGGTCATTGGCTAGAAGTTAATTGGTTGGGGCCGTTGGTAGGAGTCACTGGTTGTAGGAATAACAGATTCACTGGTGGGAGTCATTTGTTGGTGGGTCGCTGGGTGAGGGTCCTTGGTATGGGTCTTGGGGTCCTTGATTGGAGAGATCACTGGCCGCAACGTATACCTTGTGGGTCTAGAATGCGGACACCAGGAATAGTGTGTTCTTCCGCAGCTGCTCTCTCGGTCCCTGACCCTCACCTGGGCCCCCACCCTCTTCCTCCGCCTTGACCCAGTTCCTCTGCAGCTGTCCAGCCCAGAAGGAACTGCCCCTCCCTCTCTGACTGTGGCCTGGCTGGCTGACCACTGAACTCTGTTTTGGCACAGGACATGTGGGTCAGGCTCTGGGAGTCTGACCTTGACTTTGACCCCTGGGCTCTGGGGCCAGCCTTGCTAGCTGCCTTCCAGGCCTTCTGGGCTGGCCCAGCTCTGCGCCTCCTCCATATACAATAGCGCCCCCTGCTGGCGTCCATGGTCCAAGACCACTCCTAGGTCTCCATGGGCCTCAGATGTCTTTGGGAATCCTTCTCTGTCCCTCTCCCCAGAGTGGGGGTGAGAGGGCAAGGCCTGTGTCCTCCTCTGCCTCCTGTTTGTCTTAATCGGCCCGGTCCCAGATCTGATACCCCCTCCATCCTGGCTCCAGACGTCCACGGCAGTTCCTAAGACAGAGACACCAGCTCCGAATCTGCTTCCAACGCCCACACCTTTGGCCACCGCTGCCACCACCATTGTGACTGTCGGTCACAACGTCACCATCGTAGAGGTCAGCAGGAAGTGGATGGAGCTGCAGGAGGGAGGCCCAGGGGTGAGGGGCTGCAGGCAATGTGGAGGAAACGTCCGTGTGCCCCAATGCCTACAGGAGACCCTGGACCCTGACAGTGGAAATGAGCTGGGGACCCCAGAGACTGAGGCAGACGAAGATGAAGATGACAAAGAGGAAGGAGGTGGCCCCACCATGGGCCCTGACTTCAAGGCAGCAGAGCAGCCATCTCTGACCGAGTTCCAGATCTTCCCTGTAAGTCTTGGGGGGCTGCCCTAGGTGCAGAAGAAGGGACTCCTACCTGGAGCCACATGGGACCCCCATTCTCTCTCTTGACTTCTATTGGCCTTGAACGCTCTTGCATCACCCAGTCCAGTTGAAAAATGCAATCGTGACAATGTGACAGGCTCTGTGGATAGGGTGATGTGTTTGGCTTTTAGTCTAAGTGGGAAGAAGCCACGCAAAAGGGATCTGAGTTGGCGCTTTCAAAACTCCCTCTGCCTGCTCAGTGGTATATGGACAGTAGGGGGAGCCAGAGAGACAGCAGGGAATCCCACAGTCCAGATTGGAGAGGGGCCAGGGAATCCATATTTGGGACAGTCTTAGAGCTGGAGCTGGGGAAGACAGATGCCTTGGTGGCACCACTGAGTAAGATGGGGGGGGGGGCGCCCTGGAGAACCAGGTGCGAGTCCACGCTCTCATTGTGGGAGGGTTAAATTAGCAACACCTGTTGGGCGTCCACATTGGAGATACCAAGCCAGTACTGCTTAGAAGATTCTGGAGTTCATTGGAGGTAATAAAAGCTGGAAATAAAGACTTGAGACGTATCAGTGGAGAGATGGTGTCTCTGGCCAAGGCATTGCATAGAATTCCCTAGGGGAGGAACGCAGTCAGAGACGGGGTCTGGGGTTCAAGCCTTGGTGTTGGACAGGGTGAGCGGTTGTAACTCACTGATTCTGATCGCCTGTTCTATACGAAGCGTTGTCTGAACTCATTCCTCTTCATGTGAAAACCCTTTGTGAAGGGCTTTCAAAAAGTTCGTGGAAAATGTACGTTATGAAAACACTACGCATGGACTTCAAGAACGTTTGCCCCAAAATACACCCAGCTTTTAGTTTCATTTCCACAAACTTTCCAAAGTCCCTTATTTAAAAAAAAATTTTTAGTTATTTATCTATTTGAAAGGCAGAGTGACAGAGGGAGGGAGAGAGAGACAGAGAGGTTTTCCATCCATGGGTTCACTCCCCCAAGTGGCTGCCATGGCTGAGGCTATGGTGTGGCTCCTCCAAAGCCAGGAGGAGCCCAGAATTCCATCCAGGTCTCCCACGTGGGGGAAAGGGGCCCAAGCTCTTGGACTGCTTTCCCCAGCACGTTAGCAGGGAGCTGAATTGGAAGTGGAGCAGCTGGACTCAAACTGGCCCTCGGCTAGAGGATGCCGGTGTTGCAGGCCATGGTTTAACCGACTGCCCCAGACACTGACCCCTGAAGTCCCCTCTTACAGTTGTCATTCGCCCACCCGCTTCATAGCTGAGCCTATAACTGGCCTTAAGAATTAAGCCAGTTGGGGTGGGCGTTGAGGCCGGTTAAGCAGCTGCTGGGGTTGGTCCTGGTTTAAGCGGATGCTGTTCCACTTCTAAAGCAGCTTCCAATCCTGCTGATGCTTATCCTGGGAACAAGCAAGGGATGACTCAAACACTTGGGCATCTGCCACTCACGTGGGAGACCAGAATAGAGCTCTGGGCTCCTGGCTTTGGCTTGGCCCAGCCCAGGCTCTTTTGGGGGAGTGAACCAGCAGATGGAAGACCTCTCTCTCTCTCTCTCTCTCTCTCTCTCTGCCTTTCAATAAATAAAAGAACCAGTTAAAAAGGAGTCCAGTGTGTTGCTCAACACGGAGCAGTAAGAGGCACATCGCATCCAGGGGGGAGGGGCTGTCTGGGGTTTCTGGCCTCGTCCTGCGGGGCATTGCTGGGCTGATGCGGGGGACTTGCTCAAGGGCAGCAGAGGACCCTGTGTGCGTGAGTGGGGGTGGTGGGCTCACATCTCTCTTCTTTCCCACCCCAGGGCGCTGGAGAGAAAGGAGCCAAAGGAGAACCCGCGGTGATCGAGCAGGTGAGGGGGGCGCTGCCAGGAGCTTGTGGGGTCTGGCTGGGGCGCGGCTCACCCTCTCTTCTCCCTGCAGGGACAGCAGTTTGAGGGACCCCCCGGCGCCGCAGGACCCCAGGTGAGCACTGGCTGAGTTCCCCTCTTCCCGCCTTGCCCTTGGTCAGGGTTAAGCCCCTGGGGTCCTGGAGGTCATTGGACATCTGAGGCTCAAGGGATAACTCAGCAGGGGGTGGGGTAGAAGGTCAGGGGTTGATGTGGGTCAAGACCGCATTGTGGGGGGGTTGGGGGCTGGGGGGGCGGAGCAGGAATGCTCAGAGGCAGGGAAGGGCGGTCTGTCTGGGGTCAGAAGTCCACGTGGCTCAGACTCTTGCATTTCCTGTAACTTCCGTCGCTCTGTCCATAACAGGGGGTGGTTGGCCCCAGAGGCCCTCCTGGACCCCCTGGATTCCCAGGGGACCGTGGCTTACCGGTAAGAGACGCTCCCTGGATCCTTCTGGAGGGAGCAGGGTTTGTTTTGGGGGCGCGGAGGTCTCATCGTGGGGGCAGCACTGCCTCCTGGTGTCTGGGAACAGCCCATCGGCTCCTCTTCCTCTTCCGTCTTGGGCACGCTTGTTCCCTGTCTGGTCCTCTTCCTGGCTCTTTCTCGAACCCCGGTCTTCCCATGTTGTGGTGTCTGCCTCTGAGACCTCTGAGACCGCCATGAACCTCCCTCTTCCCATCTCCTTGTCTTTCCCTGCCTCTCTCCTTGCCTCCATCTTTCTCTGTTTCTTCCCGCCTCCATGCATCTGTGTTGCCCCCCCCCCCAGGGCCCTGCTGGCCTCCCAGGGATCCCTGGCATGGATGGGATCCGGGGTCCCCCAGGCACCGTGATCATGATGCCGGTAAGGAGGGGGAGGGTGGTGCAGCGTGGGGGGCGGCCGGCGGCTGACCCAGGAGGGGGTTTCCCCTCGGAGCGCCCCTCACCACAAGTTGTTCCCTAGTTCCAGTTTGCGGGCAGCTCCCTCAAAGGCCCTCCAGTCTCCTTCCAGCAGGCCCAGGCCCAGGCAGTGCTGCAGCAGGCTCAGGTGAGGGGGCTGGGGAGGTGGCAGAGGAGCGAACCAAGACAGAGACGGGGCTGGGGCACATTCAGTTGGGGGATCTTGTAGGAGACTCAAGCTCCGTTCCCCTCTGTTTTTCCAGCTGTCCATGAAAGGTCCGCCTGGCCCGGTGGGGCTCACCGGGCGTCCAGGCCCCGTGGTGAGTGAGGAGCCTGCCCAGAGGAGGGGGTACACCGTGGAGAAGGGGCACTTCCCTCCAACTGCACCCTCTTCTCTCCTCCTCCAAGGGTCTCCCTGGATATCCGGGTATGAAAGGAGAGATGGGAGAAATGGGGCCACAGGTGAGCCTGGGGCCATGAGCGGGGGTGGGGGGACAGGACTGGGTGGGAGGGGTCTTCCCTCTGGGCCATGGGAAAATGTGCTGGCTGGAAACACCCCTGCCCTTCCTCAGGGGTGATCCTGTCTTCTTCCCTTCCTCTTTTTCTCACTCTTCTAGGGTCCTCGAGGCCTGCAGGGCCCCCCTGGGCCCCCTGGCAGAGAGGGCAAGATGGTGAGTGTCTCCTGGTCACCCTGCACGCATCCCTCGGTACCTGGGCTCGGCGTCAGGGGGATCAGAACACTGAGAGCAGGCAGCGGCGGGCAGTTCCCGTGTGTGACGGCGAATCGGGCCAGGGGGTAGCATCGGGGAGGTCTTGCCAGTGGGAGTGAGGCTTGTGAACAGGTGAGGAAGAGCCTATGTGCCCGAGACAAGTTCGGCTCATCGGAGGGAATGCTGGACAGGACAGCTCCAGACGGCGGTCAATGGCAGGAGGACCACGCTATGGCGGCCGCAGGGCAGTGAGCGGAGGCTGGAGCTAGGGACTCTGGGAGTCGGTGACGGGGCTGACTTGAACTAGACAAAGAGCATTGAGGATAAAGAGGAAGGGGCGGGTCTGAGGTGTACTTGGGAGGTTAAGATGGGACGCGGAAGACTCTACCCAAGGAAGGTGCTCTCGAGTGGCGGTAGAGGTCCTGATGATGTGACGGTGACAAAGCTGACGTGCTAAGCTGAGAGACAGGCACAGGACAGGTCTGTCCCTGACCCCTGGGCTTGCTTTCTCCCTAGGGCCGCTCTGGAGCAGATGGAGCTCGGGGCCTCCCAGGGGACACAGGCCCCAAGGTAGGTGATGTGGCCAGGACTGGGATCCGGGTTGGTGGGGTTGGGGGGTGGCGCACCAGGGTCAAGGGTTCGGGGCTGAGCTGGTGTCTCTCTGGATAGGGTGACCGGGGCTTTGATGGCCTTCCAGGGCTGCCTGGTGAGAAGGGCCAAAGGGTGAGTGTGTTGACCCTGCTTTCAGACCCAAGGCCCCTTCCCAAGATGCACGCTTCCACCTCAGGGTGAGCCCTGAGCCCCGTGTTTGAGCCCTCACCCCTCACCCCATCTCCTTTTCTGGGGGGGGGGGGCTGGTCTTCACCAGTGCCACTCTGCTCTGAACTGCCCTCTGTCCCCTACTCCAGGGCGACTTTGGCCATGTGGGACAACCTGGCCCCCCGGGAGAGGATGGTGAGAAGGTGAGTTTAGAAGGAAGTTAGGGGTGATATGGAGACCATGAGTGAGGCTTGGAGAGCGCACAGGGGCTGGGTGCAGGGCAAAGGTTTGCACTGGACGGCCAGGGCACCCAGGTGCAGAGGGCGGGCTCAGGCAGACAGCTCAAGGGGTGGGTGTGTGTGTGTGGGGGTGTTCTCTTCACAGTGAAACCACCAGAGGGGGCGCCCATGTCCCTCATCAGAGAGCCTGGGTTTGAATCCTGGCTCCAGCTCCCTGCACTGTGCACCCCGGAGGCAGCAGCCGATGGCTCAAATGCTTGGTCGCTGATGCACACATGGGGGACCTTCGTTGAGTTCCAGGCTCCTGGCTGTGGCCTGGCCCAGCACTGGCCATTGTGGGCATTTGGGGAGTGAACTGGCCGAGGAGAGCCCTCTGTCTGTCTTCCAAATAAAGATTTATTTATTTATTTATTTATTTATTTAAAAGAGTTACACAGAGAGAGGAGAGGCAGAGAGAAAGAGAGAGAGAGGTCTTCCATCCGCTGGTCCAGTCCCCAATTGGCTGCAAAGGCTGCAACTGTGCCGATCTGAAGCCAGGAGCCAGGAGCTTCTTCCAGGTCTCCCATGCAAGTGTAGGGGCCCAAGGACTTGGGCTATCTTCTACTGCTTTCCCAGGCCACAGCAGAGAGCTGGATCAGAAGTGGATCAGCTGGGTCTCGAACCAGTGCCCATATGGGATGCCGGCACTGCAGGTAGCAGCTTTACCCGCTATGCCACAGCGCCGGCCTCAGGGTTAACAATTTTAAAAAAGAGAGAGGACCAGGGGATACTTTGACGTTAGGAGGTAAGATTCGGGGCTGCAGATTTAGGATAGGAGTTGAGAGTGTGAACGGAACCCCTCGGGCTCGATTCCCAGAATCCTGGGGACCTCTGAGGTCCCCAGGAAGGGGCTGCCCAGATGAGGGGAGCGAGTTCTCCAAGCCTTGTGTGTCCCCTCTCCAAGTAACGATGCCTTCCCGTAGGGAGCGGAGGGTCCTCCAGGGCCTACCGGCCAGGCTGGCGAGCCGGTGAGTATCCGGGTTGCTCAGGCCCGGCCTTGGTGCAGGGGAAGAACTTGGGCTGCAGTTCTCAGAGGTCCCGCAGCTCCTGGGCCTTGCCGAGGTGAGGCTGGGCGACTGCACCTGCTGTTTCCCTTTCACAGGGGCCGCGAGGACTGATCGGCCCCAGAGGCTCCCCTGGCCCCCCCGGACGCCCGGTGAGAACACCCTGGGCTCTCTGCACCCCTGCCCATCTTTTCCTTGCCTGGGTCCCCGCTGCATGTCCATCTCTCTTGCTTGATTTCTCCGCCTGCTCGCTTCCCCAGCCGTGCCCCCTGGTGTCTCAGACTCAGGCCCCTGTCCTGCTCTCATGCCTGCCCGCTCTCCCCCCAGGGTGCCACAGGAAGCGACGGGGCTCCAGGTGCCAAAGGCAATGTGGTACGTGGCCCGCCCTCTGACCCCTGGCCCTTGGGACACGCTGACCCCTGCGGCCCTTCGTGCCCTTGTCCACTCCCACGTGCACCTGTGTCAGCTCCACTGACCGCCCCCGCCCCCACCCGATGCCATGAGCCCTTCTCTCTCTCTCTCTCTCTGCAGGGTCCTCCGGGAGAGCCAGGCCCTCCAGGACAGCAGGGAAACCCAGGGTCACAGGTTTGAACTCTCGTTCCCAAGGGCGGGGGTGGACGCTGTGGTCAGCGGAGGCTTTAGGTCCTTCCTGGCCTCTGCAGTCCTGGCGCCCACTGTTTCACGCTCATATCTCCCCCACCCTCTTTTCTTTATGTCCTCAGGGGATCCCCGGCCCCCAGGGACTCATCGGGACTCCTGGGGAGAAGGTGAGTGACAGCTCTGGCCGCCCTCACCTTCCTAGGTCTTCTTCCTTCAGCCCTGTGGCCAGGAAGCGCCCTCCGCCCCGGGCCCCTTTAGTGATCTGTGGCTGGTGATAAACGGTCACATCACAGTCACTGCTGCAAGAGGCAGACCCTCACCGAGGGCCACTCGTGACGGGGCTATCATCAGCGAGCAGAGAACCCCAGAGAAGCGCTGTCCGTGGTATCCCCAAGAGCCTGGGGGGCCTCCTTTCTCTGTGCCCAGTGGCCTGGGCTCTGTTCCTCTGCACGTCTGTCCCCGTCTCTCCTAGCAATCAGGCCCCTTCCTGCACAAACTTCAGCGTCCCCCCCACCCCCCCGTTTCCACTTCTCTGTGATCCTGGGCTTTCTGTCACCATTTCTGGTCCCAACTCCCTATGATCTTACACTTTTTTTTTTTTAAATGTATTTATTTGAGAGGCAGAGTTACAGACAGAGAGGGAGAGATGGAGAGAGAGGTCTTTATCCACTGGTTCACTCCCCAAATGTCCACAATGGCCAGAGCTGGACCAATCTGAAGCTAGGAGCTTCCTCCAGGTCTCCTATGTGGATGCAAGGACGCAAGGACTTGGGCCATCTTCTACTGCCTTCCCAGGCCATAGCAGAGAGCTGGATGGGAAGAGGAGCAGCCAGAACTTGAACCAGTGCCCAGCAGGCAGAGGCTTAGCCACAGCACCAGTTCCTGACCTTAGACTTTTAAAAAATATACAGTTTCCTTTTTTTTCTTTCTGGGTCATTTTTTACGGGGATACAGTGTCATAATTCAATATATGAATACAATGTATAATGATCAAATCGGAATAATTGGTATTTCATCTCCTTAAACAGTGATCATTACTTCATGTTGGGAGACTTTGAACTCTTCTAGTTTTTCATAAAATACATAATAAATCATTAAAAACTAAAATAATATATTTGAGAGAGAGAGAGAGAGAGAGAGAGAAAGCGAGCGAGCACTGATTCACTCCCCACATGCCCACAGTAGGGTCAGGCCAGGCTGAAGCCAGGAGTCAGGAGCTCCGTCCAGGCCTCCCATGTGGGTGGCAGGAACCCGAGGACTGGGCCGTCTTCTGCTGCCTGCCAGGGTGTGCAGGAGCAGGAAGCTGGAATCAGGAGTGAAGTGGGGACCCGAACCCAGGCCCTCAGATGAGAGAAGCAGGTGTCCTGGGTGCTAAGCAGGTGTCCTAACCACTGTGCCAAGTGCCCAGCCCATCTCACAACTGTTTTGCGTCCCTTCTCAGCCCTCCCAGAGGCAGAGGAGTTCTGAGACTCAGAGAAGGCAAGGGACCTGCCCAGGGTCACACAGCAAGTCTGAGCCGAGCTGGGATAGATTTCCTGGGCAGTGCCATGGCTCCTTCTCTCTGAGCAGAGCTATTCCTGGGGGGGAGCTCCAGGGTCCTGAGACCCCTGTCTCCCCCTATCTTTCATCTCCTTTCAGGGCCCTCCTGGAAATGCAGGGATTCAGGGCCCCCCAGGAGCTGACGGTCCTCCGGTGAGCACCTGGAGTCGGGGGGTGGGGCACAGGTGGCTAAGATTGATCACTTACAAGGCTTCTTTCCCAGGGTCACCCGGGCCAGGAGGGCCCCACGGGAGAAAAGGGGTCCCAGGTGAGTGACTAAGAGGGAGGCTGGGCCAGTGATGAGGGCAGAGCCTGGACTCTGAGTGTGGCGAGGACCCTGGGGGTGGGGAGGGGGAAGGCGGGGCTGGCACTGACCCTCTGTTCCTCTCAGGGCCCAGCGGGGTCGGCAGGTCCTCCGGGCTACCCGGGCCCTCGAGGCGTGAAGGTAGGTGACACTCAGGCAAGGCGATTCCTTGGCATTGGCTTTGGGGGTACAGCTTTCTTGCTGCACACGAGGGCAGGTGGAATCTTCATTATATCGTTGTGTGGAGCCCTTGCCCGTCTTCCTGCTGAACCAGGGTTGTTTTCTTTCCTGCTTGTTGCACTCTGTATTTAGGGGAGCGTTGACCGTGATGTAAATTAAACCCAGGTTAGCTCAAGAATTACGAGAGGAACAGGAAAAGGAAAGGCATTTCTGGATGTGTGGGGAGAGGAATCAGCCGGCCAGGCAAGCTGTAGGGGAGCGAGGATTGGGTCTTGGCGATGATTTGGCCCTTCCTCCAGCCCAGAGCCAGCCTTCTGATACCAAACTCCACTCAAGTTCCTCACCCAAGATACTGTAGGGTTTACACAGAAGCTGCACACGTCCCCCCGTATATTTTGGTATTATTATTATTTTTTAGGATTGAAATATGAATTAAAAAAAAGTATTTGAGGGAGAAAGAGAGACACAGAGCTTCCATCTGCTGGTTCACTCCCCAGATGCCTGCAATGGCTAGGGTGGGCCAGGGTGAAGCCAGGAGCCTGGAGCTCCATCCAGGGCTCCCACGTGCATACGGGGCCCCAAGCACTTGGGCCATTCTCTGCTGCTTTCCCAGGTGCATTAGCAGGGAGCTGGATCGGAAGTCGGGCAGCTAGGGCTTGAACCAGTCCTCCGATAATGGGGTTTCGCAGGCAGTGGCTTAACCCACGGCACTGCAATGCCAAACCCAGACGAGATTTTTTGGAATGTTTCCAACCTGTGGTTGGTGCACTTTGTGGCCACAGAGCCTGCAGATACCAAGAGCTTACTGGACGAGAGTGCTTCAAAAAGTTCCTAGAAGTTTGAATTAAAAGATAAGCTCATTTTGATGCAAACAATCGAAATCCCTGCAGTTTTTTCATAATATGCATTTCCCATACATTAAAAAATGTTTTATTTAATGAGAAAGTGAGAAAAAGAGCTCCCATCCATAGATTCACCCCCAAAATGCCCACAAGGGCTGGGGCCTGGGCCAGGCTGAAGCTGGGAGCCTGGAGTTCAGTCCAGGGACTCAACTACTTGAGCCATCACCTGCTGCTTCTAGGGTGTGTGTCCCAGGAAGCCAGAATCTGGAGTGGAGCAAGGACTTGAACCCAGGCCCTCCAGGGTGGGGTGTGACCATCCCAAGTGGTGTCTTCCGTGCTGCCCCCATGCGTCTATTAGTAGCTATTGTCCATCTCTTACTGTGCCTAATTCAGAAGCTCATCTTTGGCATAGGCATTTGTGGGCAGGAAAAAGCCACCATACAGGTATTCCAGCACTAGGCAAGTGTCAGGTAGACACTGGGAGTCTTGTTCCCCGCATCCCTCAGGACAGGGTGGAATGGTTGTCGTCAGCACCTGTGTTGTTGGCAACCTAATAACATTGTAGTTGGAGCCTATGAACAACTGTGGATATGGACTCCCAGGCTGTAGCTGAGTCCACTTCCATCGGCCCCAAGGGCAGAGAACAATTGTAGCCAAGTTCAGAGACATCATCGTGGTCAAGTGAATGACCCCTAGCAGGAGCCGGCTGCGACAGTGGCCGAACACATTGCTACATTGTATCCAAGTGCACTTCCTTTGTGGCCGCTGAGCTCAGCTGGGTTGTGGCCAAGAGCAGTTTCCCGAGTTTGGTGTGAGTGGCATCCAAGCCCGCCCTGAGCAGGCTCCTTGTCACCAAGCACAGAGTCGCCTTGTTGCCAGGCTCAATGGGGACACATTTCTCTGCCTTCAGAAGGAGGTCTGTTCATCCTCTCTCTCTTGCCAGGAGGAACTGTGCACACAGTGTCCCCGGGAGATGGGAATGAATTACTTGGAAATTTGGCCTTCCCTTTACAACTCCCATTCTGAAGACCCTGGGAGGCTGCCAATCCGGGAGGGGGTGGGGGGAGGCGGGGAGGGGCGAGTGCATCCCACGCTGGCAGATTCCTGGGGAAGACCACTTCCTCTGAGGCTGCCCCCAGCCCGCTCTGCTCCAGCATCCTTTTGGGACTGTTCTGGCTGGTTTATTTATTATTTATTTTTTATTCTTTAGGGTACTTCTGGCAATCGGGGTGTCCAGGGAGAGAAAGGCGAGAAGGTGAGAAGGGAAGAGATTCCTTGGAGGGGCAGGGAGAGCCCCCCTCATGTGGCCCTTCCCTTCCCCGAGACCTTGACTTTGACCTTGATTTTGACCTGTCTCTGCTCCCCCCAACCCCCATCTTCCAGGGAGAGGACGGCTTCCCTGGCTTCAAGGGTGACGGGGGCCTCAAAGGCGATCGGGTAGGACAAGCTCTGGATGAGGGGTCGTGAGGTCTGGGGGGCTTGGGGACACAGGCAGGGGGTGGGCGAGGGCTCCAGGAAGTGGGAAGGACCAAGAACTGATACCAGGGCCTCTCTTCCCCATTCCAGGGGCAGCCTGGACCCCCAGGTCCTCGTGGAGAAGACGGTCCTGAGGGCCCAAAGGGGCCGGAGGGGCTGCCCGGTGAGGAAGGTCCCCCAGGTGCAGCTGGAGAGAAGGTGAATGAGCCTTGGTCGCCCCTCCCCCCTTCCTGGCTTGCAGCCCATGTGTTCTCCAGCCATTTGCCTCTGCCCTCTGCCCTTTCACCTCTGACCCCAGGAGGTGGCCCCTCTCGCTGTCATCTTTCTCAGCTCAGCATTTCAGAGCCATCCCATGCAACAGGCATTTTAAAGAAAGATTGATTTACTTGGAAGGCAGAGGTAGAGAGAGAGACAGAGAAAGAAATGTCAATCTTCCATCTGCTGGTTTACTCCCCAGATAGCCACAATGGCCTGAGCTGGGCCAAGCCGAAGCTAGCTACTCCATCCAGACCTCACACGTGGGTGGCATGGCAGCTTGGCCCATCCTCTGCTGCTTTCCCAGGCACATTAGCAGGGAGCTGGATCAGAGGTGGAGCAGCCGGGACTCGAACCGACCCTCCAATGTGGGATGCTGGCACCGCAAATGGCAGCTTAACCCACTGGCCCCATTTTACAGTTGAGAAAACAGGCCTGCAGGGGTTGAGTGCCGGCCCCAGGCTCACTCTGCTTCCCTCCTCCCCTCCCCTGCTGGCTTTCTTTCCAGACTTCTGTGTTGCAGTTTCTGACTTTGCCCTGTAATCTCTCTGCAGGGCAAGCTGGGGGTGCCAGGTCTCCCCGGGTACCCCGGACGTCCGGGCCCTAAGGTAAGAGGCTGGGGGACTGGGGCTGGGCGGGGCAGGGGTCAGGGATGAACATCCAGGGCTCCTGGCTGTGACCTCAGGGGTGAGCTGCCCCCTCTGTGGTCACTGGGAGGATACGGGCTTTGGCATCAGGCAGGCTTGGGCTCAGACGTTCAGCTCTTACCTGCTCAGTGCACTTGGGCAAGTCATTCCTTTCTACTATGTCGCTTGAGATCCTTTTATTGTTACAAAGTTTATTTTTATTTATTTGAACGGAGGGGAGAGAGAGAGAGAGAGAGAGAGAGAGAGAGAGAGAGAGAGAGAGAGAGAAAATTGCCCATTTGCTGGTTCACTCCCTTCATGCCCCAAACAGCTGAGGCTGGGTCAGGCTGAAGGCAAGATCTGGGAGCTAGCTCCATCTGGGTCTCCCACCGGAGCCATCACGCCCACCCCCCGGGGTGTGCACCAGCAGGGAGTCGGAACTTGCAGCAGAGCCGGGACTCGAACCCAGGTGCTGCAGTGTGGATGCAGGTGTCCCAAGCAGTGCATCCTCACCTGCCCCCTCCTTGGATCTCATTTTCTCACCCGCAAAATGAAGAGACCGGGAGGACCGACCCAATCAAGCTGATGATGATGGGGAAAATTTCAGATCCTTCTTATTGAGTATGACTGAGATGTGCTTATTAACCCAGTCAGTGAAGGGGGAGAATCATGAAAAACACTTATCTTCCATATCTTGGATTAATTATAGCTTGCGACAAAATGTTCTTAAACGAAACATACATTTGCTTGCCAGTGGTTTGATGGATGAGGACACCAACAAAATTCATCTTTCTCCCTAATCCACACCCACATTACCTCATGGGTAATTTCTCGGTTCTGTTTATGTCAAGGAGAGCAGCAACTTAAAGACATTTGGGAAGGGATTTGAGTTTTGTCCTGTTGAGCTACTGGTGTAGTTATCTCGTCCACATCTAATTTGATAGCAGTTTTCTAGTTACTTCTTAGATTTTTTGTCCACTTAATTTTGATATACATCTTTTATTATTATTCGAGAGGGGGAGGTCTCATGGGTTGGTTCGTTCCCCAAACGCCTGCAACAGGGGTGCAGTCCGGGTCTCCCATGTGAGTGGCAGGGACCCAAGTACTTGGGCCATCGCCTGCTGCCTCCCAGGGTGCACATTAGCAGGGAGCTGGAACAGGGAGCAGAAAACCTGGGGGCTCTAACCCAGGTTTGGGCGTCCCAATGGACGACTTAACCACTAAGCCAAGTGCTCAATCCCATCACGACTTTTATAAATGCATTGAGTCCTTACTTGAGATGTGGATTGAGTTCCTGACTCCCAGCTCTGGCCCTGTGGACATGTGAGGAGAGAAGCAGCAGATGGGTGCTCACTCTGTCCCTCTGTCTCTCTGCCTACTCCTCATCCCCTCTCTTCTCTTGGATTCTTTCCATTTAGGGATCCATTGGATTTCCTGGGCCCCTGGGCCCACTAGGAGAGAAAGGGAAGCGGGTAAGTGGTGAGCCAGGAGGAGCAGTTGGCTCGAGGGACCAGCGTGTGCTGTGCATGAAGGTGGCTGTGTGTGTGCCTGGCAGCATTTGTGTGCACACATGCCCCTGTGTGCAGTGCAGGGTGCATGGCGGTGGTCACTGCTGCTGTGTGACTGTGTGTGCCGTAAACACACATGCGCGAGAGGCGTTAAAAGTTTGTGGGCAATGGATGAAAAGATGTTTGCTTTGGTGCAGAGATTTTTTTGAAATCCATCCATAGTTTTCAAAATATGTTTTCCATGAACTTGAACATTTTTATTTATTTGAAAGTTGAGAGAGAGAGAGAGGGAGAGAGAGAGTGTGTGTCTTCCATCCCCTGGCTCACTCCCCAAATGCCCACAACAACCAGGACCGAGCCCACCAGGAGCCAAGAGACAGGAGCTCCATCCGGGTCTCCCACATGGGTGGCAGGGACCCAAGTGCTTGAGCCCTCCCTGCTGCCTCTCGGGGTGCGCGTGAGCAGGGAGCTGGAATTGGAAGCAGATCTGGGACTCCAGCCCCAGGCACTCTGCTGTGCAATGCCTGCACCTCCATGAACATTTTGAAGAACTCTCCTGTGCGTGGATTTCAACACTTGTCTGCTTTTTTTACGTTGACCTCCGTTTTGCACGAGCATTTTCGAACACTCTCGTGTATGTCTGTCTCCTGTGTTTTTCCATGCAGAGCCCTCGGGCTGCAGCCTGGGGCTTCTGCCTGCTTGCGTGTTGCATGGCCATACACAGGTGCCTACGTGTGTGTGGCACTCTCAGTGCTCTGTATCCATGGGCCCATGTGTGTGTTGCTTTTGTATGTATTGTAGCCGGGCCAGTGGCCACTGTGACTGCACGGACAGTGGCATGTTGGTCAGGGCCTTCCTGTGAATCCACGCACGCACGTGTTTGCACCACGTGCAAGGCATGCATTGGCTGCGTGTCACCCTCGGGCTGCGGACCTCCAAAGGCGTGGCACAATGGCAGGCGGCGATGTGTGACGATCGTGTGTCCATGCGGGCGAGCAAGCTTGTGGGTTGGGCTTCTGTCGGTGTGCTCGATGTGCAAGGGTGCGTCTGTGACCTTTGCTGGCTGTGGGTGCCGGTGCTGGGCGTGTGCATGTGTGTGTGTGTGTGTGAATGAGTGAGACACAGGAAACTTCTGGCCTGCAGAGCAGAGCACCGCTGGGCTTGTGTCACCCCTCTGCACCCTAGCTCTCTTCCGCTTTCTCTCGCCCAATTCGTTTTGCAGGGCAAAGCAGGGCAGCCGGGGCTAGAAGGAGAGCGAGGACCACCAGTAAGAACATGCAGGGGGGCGGCGCGGGGAGACGGCGGGCGGGCAGGACAGTGGGTCTGGGTTATGTTGGTGTCCCTGGTGGGGGAAGCAGGAGGGGGCTGTGGAAGGAGAGGACTTGGGAGGTTGTGGCCCTACCCTCTAGGCTCCCCTCTCACTTCTGATCTTTTGTCTTCTTTCTGTTTCAGGGCTCCCGTGGGGAGCGGGGACAGCCAGGGGCTACGGGGCAGCCAGGTCCCAAGGTAAGGGGCCAGTGGCCAAGGCCCCCAGGCAGCTCCTTTGTCCCAGGCTCACCCAAGCCCCCTCTCTGCCCCGAGTCCCTCCCAGGTGAGTGTGTTCTGGGGCCTGAGTCACCTTCGCTCTGTCCTAGGGTGACGTGGGCCAGGATGGAGCCCCCGGTGTCCCTGGAGAAAAGGTGAGTGAGGGGCTGAGGGTGCACTTTGAAATTTATTATTTATTTACATTGCAGTTATTTTCTTAAAATGATTGATTTATATATTTGGAAGGCAGAGTTACAGAGAGAGAGGGCAAGAGAGAGAGGTCTTCCATCCACTGGTTCACTCCCCAGATGGCTGCCATGGCCAGGGCTGGGCCAGGCTAAAGCCAGGAGCCCAGGATTCCATCCAGGACCCCCACGTGGGTGGCAGGCACCCAAACACTTGGGCCATCCACTGCTGCTTCCCCACGTGCACCAGCAGGGAGCTGGGTCAGAAGTGGAGCAGCTGAGATCCAAGCCAGGCACTCGGATACGGGATATGGGCATCCCAAGAGCAAATGCCCGCCTCTCTCTCTGCACCCCCTTAATCTGAGAGGCAGAGAGAGCGAGCGGCAGCTCCCCAAATGCCTGCAACAGCCAGGCCAAAGCCAGGAGCTGGAACTCAGTCCAGATCGCCCATGAGGGTGGCCAGAATCCAGCGTGTGCATTGGCGGGAAGCTGGGGTCAGGGGCTGGAGCTAGGACTCGAACCTTGGCTCTCCAGCGTGGGATGAGAGTGCCTAACCGCCTGTCAGGCAGACACCTGCCCTGTGTGTGAGATTCTGAGTGGAGGACAAACCCAGGGCGGGGGCGACCTAGCACAGCTGAGAGAGCCCAGCTCTGACACGCGAGACCAACAAGTTCAAGTCCTAGCTCGCTGTGTGACGTTGGGCAAGTGGCTTAACCGCTCTGTGCCTCCGTTTCCTCCTCTGTAAAGTGAGCGTTACCACAGTCCTCACCCCAAAGGCAAATGACTGCTGGGGAGTCTCCACCCTCTGCCTGGTATGCAGTAGGTGCCTAATAGCTGCCAGCTCTCAGGGTCATTCTGTGGGGCTCTGGGGGCAGGGAGCAGGCCGGGGGGTGAAACAACACCTTCTGCCTCCATTTCAGGGCCTCCCTGGTCTGCAAGGCCCCCCGGGATTCCCTGGGCCTAAGGGCCCTCCCGTGAGTGACTGGGGAGCCCCTGGTTGGGGGGTTGGGTGGGAGGGGGACTGGGGAAGGGCAAGGCTTCATGCCTGTGCTTGCATGGTGTCCTCCAGGGTTCCCAGGGGAAAGACGGGCGACCGGGGCACCCCGGACAGAGAGGAGAATTGGTGAGTGACTGCTTGACCTTGAATCCCTGACCCTAGTAGGCCCCCACCTTCCCCCCCTCTGTGTGAAACCCTCTATTCATTAATTAATTTTCTCTCCAGGGCTTCCAAGGTCAGACAGGCCCGCCTGGACCAGCTGGTGTCCTAGGGCCCCAGGTCAGAGTGGACTCCTCCCTCTTTCCCCTCCCTCTCCCCCTCCCTCTTCTCCCTCTCCCTCCCTCTTCTCCCTCTCCATCCCTCTTCTCCCTCCCCCTCCCCGCCCTGTACTGCACCTGCTGGGAGAGAATTTGGTGGTAGTGGGGGAGCTGCATCTTTGACCATCCCCGCCCCCCCCATTCAAAATGAGCCCTTCCCCCCTCCACAGGGAAAGACAGGAGAAGCTGGGCCTCTGGGGGAGAGGGGCCCCCCAGGTCCTCCAGGGCCACCTGGAGAGCAAGGTCTTCCGGGCCTGGAAGGCAGAGAAGGCGCCAAGGTGAGACCCAGCCCATGGTGGGGGGTCTCACCATGAATGGCCCCAAATCCCCTCAATGGCCCTCGCACCACCTCGGGGCTCTGATCATCCCTGGGGGAGGGGGTCCCCTCACCAGATGCAGCGGCCTCCCATCTTCCTCCCTTTGTCGTCCTGCAGGGGGAGCTGGGCCCACCAGGGCCCCTGGGAAAAGAGGGGCCAGCTGGTCCCAGGGGCTTCCCTGGCCCCAAAGGAGCCCCCGGTGACCCAGTGAGTATCATCTGCAGCCCCACCCCCCAACCTCCCATGCCTGGCTGGGCTGTGAAAGAGAAGGGACATGGGGGGGGGGTCATGGGGAGGGTCGTGACAGTGGCATCCTTGGATGGAGACCACGGTGAACATAAAGGCAGGGCAGGTGCAGGGGCCAGGGGGAGGCGGGCCTGGAACTGAGCCACAGTGCCCAGTCCCCAGAAGGAGGTGGGGACCGTGCCCCTGCTCCAAAGTGAAGACGGGACCTGCGCCTCCTTGGAGGCGTCTTGACTGTGGGTCATTTCCTTTCCCAGGGGCCTGTCGGCTTGAAGGGTGACAAGGGTCCCCCAGGCCCAGTTGGGGCCAATGTAAGTGTCAGCCCATCTACTGGGTGTGGGTCAGGGAGGAGGGGACTTGGGGTGTCCGGGAAGCTTGGGTTGGTCACGGTGAAGCCCCGGTCTTGGAACTACACAGGCCTGGGTGACCCCAGCTCTGCTACTCCCTGGCTGGGCCATTGGAGGGGGGGGCTCTGTTTCCTTGTCTGCCCGACATCTGATGGGTGATCTCATCTTCTCTATACGAAAGTCTTCAAAAACAGCAGGGAAAGCAGGTGCACCTGTAGAACAGAGTGGACGGGGGAGGAGCAACCTAAAGAGGCTGGTGGGGCAGGTCTCCCTGAGAGGTAGCATCAGAGCTGAGACCTGGACGGGGATGAGGGAGGAGCCAGGTGGAGACAACAGCCTGTGCAAAGGCCCTGTGGCCTGCTACCCTTCATGCTCCCTCCCTCCTTCTCAGGGCTCCCCAGGAGAGCGAGGTCCTTTGGGCCCAGCTGGCGGCATTGGGCTCCCTGGCCAAAGCGGAGGCCAAGGCCCTGTTGGCCCTGCAGGCGAGAAGGGGTCCCTGGTGAGTGACTTGCCCGCCCCCTATCCCCGCATCCTCAGGACCTGGCTCCTGCAGAACCTCCTAGCCCTGACACCCCCCCACCCTTGTCCCCTATCCCCCTCAGGGAGAGCGCGGTGCTGCTGGCCCCACTGGCAAGGATGGGATCCCAGGACCCCTGGGGCTCCCGGGCCCTTCTGGGGCTCCTGGGCCTTCCGGCGAGGAAGGGGACAAGGTGAGGGGTCCACAGAGAGGTGGGGGAGGGTCTGGGGCAGGAGGCGGCAGCTAGGTGCTCCTCATTCTGCTTCCTCTTCAGGGAGAAGTGGGTGCGCCCGGTCACAAGGGAAACAAAGGAGATAAAGGAGAAGCGGTGAGTGGGGGTCCCTGCACGTGTGCGTCGGGGGTGACCTTCAGGGGAGGGAGGAGGGGCCAGGGAAGTGGAGGATGGGCAGGTTAGGGCGACGCCTGCATCCCTGAGCCCTGTGTCGCCATCTCCATGCGAGAGGCGCTCCTTGGGCTCCCTGGAGTAGCTGGGCCCCCGGAAGGGCGGGTAGCAGGTGTTACTCCCACTCTCCGTTTGCGTGTTGGTATACGCATTTCCCTCTGTTGCAGCTTGGCATTGCTCTGAGCCATTCAAGCCCCAGCTTCCCCCCTCCCCGAGTTTCAGCTCCAGTGCTGGACAGCAGAGAGCCTGCCCCGTCCCAGTCTCAGCAGGACTTCTGGGAAAGTGCCTGTGTGTGCCGTGGGCTCTCGGTGGTCTCCAACCCCAACCCCGTCCACTGGCAGCGGGGGACGTTAGTGGCTGCGACTCCCTGGTGGTGGGGAGGGGGTGGCTGACATCGGTAGTGCTGCCCCCACCCCAGTCTGGAACCTGATAGAATGATAGATTCTTCTGTTCTGTTCCCTCTTCTAGGGCCCCCCTGGACCAACAGGGATCCGAGGTCCTGCAGGACACCCAGGCTCCCCTGTGAGTGCTCTCAGTGTTACGCCCCCGCGCCAGCCCCTGGCGGGAGCAGAGTATTCCCCACCCTCACTCAACCTCGGTCCACTTCTCAGCCCCAGAATCTGACCCCATCCCAGCCTCGCTCCGCCCCGTGGTGCTGACACCCACCCAGTCACCTGCAGATGACTCAGCCCCGTTTCAGTGTCAACCTTGAACCCCTCACCCCAGTGGGTTCTTTTGATTTTAAAGACTGATTTATTTGAAAGTCAGAGTTAGGCCGGCGCCGCGGCTCACTAGGCTAATCCTCCGCCTAGCGGCGCCGGCACACCGGGTTCTAGTCCCGGTCGGGGCGCCGGATTCTGTCCCGGTTGCCCCTCTTCCAGGCCAGCCCTCTGCTGTGGCCAGGGAGTGCAGTGGAGGATGGCCCAGGTGCTTGGGCCCTGCACCCCATGGGAGACCAGGAAAAGCACCTGGCTCCTGGCTCCTGCCATCGGATCAGCGCGGTGCGCCGGCCGCAGCGCGCCGGCCGCGGCGGCCATTGGAGGGTGAACCAACGGCAAAGGAAGACTTTCTGTCTCTCTCTCTCACTGTCCACTCTGCCTGTCAAAAAAAAAAAAAAAAAAAAAAAAAGAAAGTCAGAGTTACAGAGGGAAGTGGAGAGAGAGAGAGAGAGAGAGAGAGAGAGAGAGAGAGAGAGAGAAGGGTCTTCCATCTGCTGGTTCACTCCCCAGATGGCTGCAATGGATGGGGCTGGGCCAGGCTGAAGCCAGGAGCCTGGAGCTCCATCCAGGTCTCCCACGTGGGTCTCCCCGCTGGGATCTTGACTCCACCCACGATCTTAACTTCAGTCCCAGCTTACCCCTTATCTTCGGCTCTCCTATGAAGCCCACCCTAGCCCAGTGCTATCACCAGTTCACCTGTGACCCACCCCCAAGGCGGACCCCAAATCTGACCTGGAATTCGGCTCTGACCCTTAGTCCCTTTGAGACTGATGGCTTCTACCCTCATGGCCTCATCTGATCTGCTGCCCAGTAAAGAGATCCGAATACCATTCAGTGGGAACTTGGGGATCACGTTTCCAGCACTAGAACTCTGGGGAGACACAGGCCCGGCACAGCAGGCCCCGACTGGACCCTAAATCCCCAACCCTAAATCCTGTCTCGGTTCGTTCTTGATTTCATCTCTGCACTCTGACCCTTTACCCAAATCCTTCCTGAACCTAAGCCCCAGCCCGACTCTTAACCTTTAACCCTTAACCTCCAACCCTAACCCTATGGCCAACCTTTGACCCTGTTCTCTCCCCAGGGAGCAGACGGAGCTCAGGGCCGCCGGGGACCCCCAGGCCTCTTTGGGCAGAAAGGAGATGACGGCCTCAGAGGCTTTGTGGGGGTCATTGGCCCCCCTGGCCTACAGGTGGGTGTAGGAGTGTATGGGGCGGCACCTCTGGTTCTTTGCTCTATATGCATACTTGTTTCTTTGTTTCACAGGGGCTGCCTGGCCCTCCTGGAGAGAAAGGGGAGGTTGGAGACGTAGGCTCCATGGTATGGACTCCCAGGGAAAGGCTACTGGGTAGGGGTGGCCCCATTTAGGGGATCACGGGGTGCAGGTCACTGTAAGGGTCATGCACCAAAGGTGACATCTGGGGACACTGCGGTCTTTGGGGGCCATGGAGTCATTGGCTACTACTCTGGCCCTCCCACAGGGTCCCCACGGAGCTCCAGGTCCCCGGGGTCCCCATGGGCCCAGTGGAGCAGAGGTGAGAACTCGGGGGCTCCGAGGTGGGGACTCCCGTTTCCCAGGAAGGATCGCACAGTCCCGCCTCTAACCCTTGCTGTCTCTCCAGGGCCCTCCAGGGCCGCCTGGAGGGGTTGGTCAGCCCGGAGCCGTGGGCGAGAAGGTGAGAGAGTGAGGGCAGGGGTGACAGCTGTCCTGACGGGTGCAGGGTGCTGATGTGCTGGGGCTCCTGCCTGCCAGGAGCGGACTTCACTCCGTTCGTTCCCGCTTTGCCCCCTGCAGGGTGAGCCAGGGGACGCTGGAGAGCCAGGACCCCCAGGATCCCCCGGCGTCCCGGTGAGTGACAGCACCATGTGGCCTTGCCCCTGTCTCGGGGGACGCCTGCCTTGGGGTGTCCTAGATCATGTGGCCCTCCGTGGGCAGCCCTGGGTCACCCACCAATGCAGTGCCCATGGGAAACTTGATTGTCCAGAGGAAAAACCCCAAGATTTGAGCTCTCAGAATGGGCTGCTGGGTGCACGGTGCACAAGGGTGACTCTCACCTCAGAGATGAGTTGCCCAGAGGGGACCGCTTTACTCATTCACCCAAGGATGGCACAGGGGCTCTACGACCCTGCCCCTGACCAGCGGACAGCTGGGCCATTCAGACCCCCAAACCTTCTAAGTCTGGGTCTCCTTTGGTAGCCTACGCTACTATGAACAGTAGCAGACCACCCTGATGTCTGAGCTTCGTGTGCTAACCCTTGGCCTCAGGAGAGCCCAGGCCACTCTGACCTCTGACCTCTGTCTCTGCAAAGGGGCCCAAGGGAGAAGTTGGTGAAAAGGGGGATTCGGGCCCATCTGGAGCTGCTGGACCCCCAGGCAAGAAGGGGCCCCCCGGAGAGGATGGCGCCAAAGGAAACATGGTGAGTGGGGGGGAGGTGGAGGCAGAGATGGGGGCGCCGAGTGTGCTTGCACCTGCTCCCAAGCTCCCACCCTCCAGCTGCCCGAGCCCTTGAGTAACCCAGAATGCAGCTGGATCAATGAATGAGTCAATGCGTGAACAAGTGAATGAGTGAATGAATGAAAAAAAATGCAGTGGTTATGTGTCCTCGTACAGGCTGAGAGGTGACTTCACAGGGAAAGAAAGAACTCGCTGCCATCAGGTGCAAGGCCAGACTTGGGTGGGTGTAGGCTTTGGCATTGGGGTTTGGGGTGCGGCAGATCCTGGAAGGCTTGGATTTGCACCTCCCACCCCCACCCATCACTGGGTCCCTTCTCTGAGTGTCCATTCTGTCTGGGAGTCCCGCACTGGGAGAAGGAAGCGAGAGGATGCTGGCACCCATTAACCACGAGGGTATCCGCTCCAGCAGGCGGGGGACTTGGTGTCTTGTTCACTCATGTGTACCCAGCAACCAGAACTGGGACGCTTTATCTGTTCAGTAAATGCATGACTGCCCAATAACTCAGAGACGTGAATTTGGGTCATTCTGTCTTCCAGGGCCCCACGGGGCTCCCCGGAGACCTAGGACCCCCAGGAGACCCTGGAGTTTCGGTACGTGGGACCTCCCCCCACCCATTCCCCACAATACAGCCTAGATCCCATCGCCCTGCCTCCATGAGCCTGGGCAAGGTCAGTGGAACATTTCCCCCAAGCCCTGCGACCCCTCCCAACTCTGCCTCCCCTCCTCTGCCAGGGTGCAGATGGTGCCCCAGGGGAGAAAGGAGACCCTGGAGATGTCGGGGGACCGGTGAGTTGGGGAGCAGAAGATGTGGTCTGGGAGGGGAGTATGGGGCTGGCAGATGGGTGAAATGGGGAGGGGGCGGGGAGGTGGGTTTGTGGGGGCACCAGGACCCCTGCAAATTCTCCTCCTCTGCCTCTCTGGGGCTCCCCATGGATGCAGCTTGGAGGAGGCGGGAAGTGGCTGGGGCCGGGGTGGTGTCTGGGGAAAGCTGTCACGCACTCCTGGTGTTGTCGTCCCTCCACAGGGCCCGCCTGGCGCTTCTGGGGAGCCCGGTGCCCGTGGGCCTCCTGGCAAGAGGGTGAGTGATGCCTCCCATGGGTGACCTCGGCTCTGACCAGCCCGCCCCACCCCCCACGCCCGCCCTGCAGATGCACCACCTCTCACTGGCTTTCCTTTCCCAGGGTCCTCCGGGCCGCATGGGTCGAGAAGGCAGAGAAGGGGAGAAAGGTTCTAAGGTCAGTGCACCCCCACCCCGGGGAGGGCTCCCTGCACTGAGGCCCGGGCCATCAGAGGGATGGGGCTTGTGGCCAGGGCAGAAGGGGCTCTGACTCCCTCCCCCTCCCTGCTGGCAACCTCTGACTCTCTTGGTCGCCCCCACCCCCACCGCTGTCCGTTTTAGGGGGAGCCAGGTCCTGATGGGCCTCCCGGGAGGACAGGCCCCGTTGGGGCTCGAGGGCCGCCCGGGCGTGTCGGGCCTGAGGGTCTTCCAGGGATCCCAGGCCCCGTGGTGAGTGATGTGGGGACAGGGGGTGTGGCAGGGGTAGGCCTGGCCCCTCCCTGTCTACACCCGCTCCTCGTGATCTCCTCCCGCTGGCCCTGGTGGGCGGCGGGCATGTGCTGTGCGTTCTGGTGGGAGGCAGCCCTCACTCTCTGTTTCATCCTCAGGGTGAACCGGGCCTCCTGGGAGCCCCCGGACAGATGGGCCCCCCAGGCCCCCTGGTAAGAGACTTACTTCTTTGTCCCTGCGGTCCCAGCTCTCAGGAGCACACTGGTCACCCAGGGACCACATTGGGGCTGCTGGCACAGGCTGGCCCCTCTCCTCTAACCATCCATGTTGACTGCTCATCCTATTGGTCTACATTGACCACCCACATCGACCATCATCTTGATGGTCTACACTGACCACCCATGCTGGCTGTCCATTTTGACAGTCTACACTGACACTGATCCCGGCCGTTCACCCTCCATTTGGGCCATTATCCAACCAACTCTATTCTCCTCCATTGTTCCGTCTGTCTCTTGACGGCCCCCATGATCGCCTCCCCCCATCTGAAATGTGGGTAATTTTCCTGGAGATTTCTCACTGAGAATCGCTGACTGGCCCTTGCTCTCCTGTCAGGGGCCGTCTGGCCTCCCGGGGCTGAAGGGAGACGCCGGCCCCAAGGGGGAGAAGGTAAGGGCATCTCATCCCACGCTTTCCCTGCCTACCCCATCTCCTCCTTCCCTCCCTCCCTGGCCAGGAGCTGGGAGGTGGGGGTGTCCTGCTCCCAGACTCAGCACCCGAAGGTTGTAGAAGAAAAACCTCCCAGCACCCCCCACCCCACTTCATCCCCTGCATGTACCTCTTTCGTCCTCCAGGGCCACATCGGACTGATTGGCCTCATCGGCCCCCCTGGGGAGGCTGGAGAGAAGGGAGACCAGGGGTTGCCAGGTGTGCAAGGCCCCCCTGGCCCCCAGGGAGACCCTGTAAGTGTGTGTCCTGCTTTGGGCGGGAAGAATATGTTCAAAGGAGCGGTCTGGGGATGGGGGGAGGGGTGCAGCAAAGACTGGAGCCCCTGAGGACTGGGAAACCCAGCTGTGGGTTGTGTCTGGGCAAAATCGGGGGCTTGTGGCTGCGGCTGCGGGGATGTGTCTGGGGCTGGGGGCCTCTCTCTTTGGAGGGACTGGATGCTTGTGAAGGGCTTGGGAACTTCCTCTGAGCAGATTGGGGTCTGGGCTGGGGACTCTGAGCAGTAGCATTGCACCCCACCTGTAGCGACACTGATGTCTCTTTCGCAGGGTCCCCCTGGTCCCATCGGGGCTGTGGGCCACCCTGGGCCCCCAGGCGTGGCGGTGAGTGTGGACGGGTTGGTGGGATGGGGCCACTGTGGTGGACCAGGCTAGGACCCCAGCTCTCCCTGTCTCTACCCCACAGGGTCCTCTGGGACAGAAGGGCTCAAAGGGGTCCCCGGTGAGTACACGGTGCTCCCCTGGGCTCCCATCCACCTCGGCTTGGCAAAGAACCTGCCATGCTTTTGCATTTAGTGTTTATTCAACACCTACGGTTGTGCCTCATCAACCCCTTGATGCCGTCTACGGTGCAACGCACCGTTATTTTATAAACCGCGCAGAAAGCAAATAGCTCTGCCAAGTCAACTTGCCAGAGGCGTGAAGACACTGATGTTAAATTACGGAAGGAAAAACTGTGGCTTCTGCTTAGCCCTGCACGTGTGTGTGTGTGTGTGTGTGTGTGTGTGTGTGTGTTGTGGGAAGGGGTCACCGTAGACAGAATCCAACCCCAGCAACTTCTCTCTATAGGGATCCCTTGGTCCCCGGGGAGACACTGGACCTGCAGGACCCCCTGGCCCCCCGGTGAGTACCCCCTGGCGGGAGAAGAGGACTGGGGACAGAGGGCAGGGGGTGGCCTCACTGGATCCCTAGAAGCACCGCAGTGGGCCAGGTGCTGAGAGGATGCAGATGGGGAAAGATGGTCCCTTACAGCTTGGGGTGGGCTGGGGGTGGGGACATCCACAGGGGCTGGGACCCGGGGCTTGTCTGTTTGGGCTCCCCTCCCCCTCCCCCATCTCTCCCTCCCTCCCTATCTCTCTTTGGGGCCTTGACTTTGTCCACCTGAGTTTTCCTTCCACTGTTTAATCTGTTTCTCTTCTCTTCCGCCTCCTCCTCTTCTTCCTCCCTTCCCCGCTTTGTCCCACCCCCTGCATCTCTCTGCCTCCTGTGTTTCTCCCCGCTGGCTTTTCCCTCCTTTTCTTTCCTGTTTTTCTCGCCTATGTCTCTCTGTCTCCCGTGTCTCCGTCTCCACCTCTGCCTTCCTCTCACCCTCTCTCTCCTCCTCGCCAGGGCCCCCCTGCGGAACTGCACGAGCTGCGCCAGCGCAGGCGGAGGCGTTCGGTCCCAGGGAAGCCAGAGACGCCGGATGGCGGCCTGGAGGAGGTGCTGGCGTCTCTCACGTCCCTGAGCTTGGAGCTGGAGCAGCTGCGGCGCCCTCCCGGCACGGCTGAGCACCCGGGCCTCGTGTGCCACGAGCTGCACCGCAACCACCCGCACCTGCCTGATGGTGAGGTCCGGCGGGTGTAGGGGGCGGGGAACATAGGAGCCCCTCCCGCTCACTTGTTCCGCCTGATTCTGCGGCAGGGGAGTACTGGATTGACCCCAATCAGGGCAGCACGCGGGATGCTCTCAGGGTTTTTTGCAACTTCACGGCGGGAGGCGAGACCTGTCTACATCCGGACAAGAAATTTGAGATGGTGAGTGATGGAAACCACCAGGCTCCTCCCCTCGGCGGCGGGGCACCCGGCCTTGTGTGGGACTTTATCCTTCCGTCAACCAACACTTGCTGCACCTGCTGTATGCCAGGTCCTGTCTGGGGCTATGGCAGATGGCCCAAAAGAAAACAAACTGCTTAAAAAAAAAAAGATGTATTTTATTTGAAAGGCAGAAAGGGGAAGAGAAGCAGAGGGATGGAGAGAGATCTCCCAATCATTGGTTCACTCCCTGCGAGCACAGTTTGGACCAGGCAGAAGCCAGGAGCCAGCAACTCCATCCTGGCCTCCACAGGGGTGGCAGGGACCCAAGGACTTGAGCCATCAATCACTGCTGCCTCCCAGGGTGTGCATCAGCAGGAAGCTGGAGTCACGGGCAGAGCCTGGACTGGAACCCAGCACGTGCTTGTGTGGCACGTGAGCATCTTCACGCTGGCGTAGACGCCCACTTCTTGCACGTAGCTTTTAATTCCATTTTCCCTGTGGTCTTTGAAGCACACTGGGGCAGGTCTCTATGTTTTTCTGTCTCTCAAATAATTAAAATATAAACACAGGGGCTGCTGTTTTGGCATAGGGGATGGGGCTGCCACGTGTGATGCCAGCATCCCACATGGGCACCGGTTTAAGTCTCAGCTGCTCCAGTTCTGATCCAGCTCCCTGCTGATGGCCTGGGAAAAGCAGCAAAGGATGACTGACCCAAGTGCTTGGGCCCCTGAACCCACACGGGAAACTTGGAAGAAGCTCCTAGCTCCTTGCTTTGGCCTGGCCATTGTGGCCACCTAGGGGAGTGAACCAGTGGATGGAAAAATTTGTCTCTCTTTCTCTCTGTCTCTGCCTGTCTCTGGGTAACTCTGACTTTCAAATAAATAAATACATCTTTAAAAAATTTTCCTCGGCCAGCGCCGTGGCTCAATAGGCTAATCCTCTGCCTAGCGGCGTCGGCACACCGGGTTCTAGTCCCAGTCAGGGCGCCGGATTCTGTCCCGGTTGCCCCTCTTCCAGGCCAGCTCTCTGCTGTGGCCCGGGAGTGCAGTGGAGGATGGCCCAAGTGCTTGGGCCCTGCACCCCATGGGAGACCAGGAGAAGCACCTGGCTCCTGCCTTCGGATAGGTGCGGTGCGCCAGCCGCAGCACGCTGGTCATGGCAGCCATTGGGGGGTGAACCAATGGCAAAAGGAAGACCTTTCTCTCTCTCTCTCTCTCTCTCACTGTCCACTGCCTGAAAAAAAAATTTTTTTTCCTAAGACTTCCAAGTTTGGTTCTCTCTCTCTCTCTCTCTCTCTATGTATATGTATATGTATATGCATATGCATATATATACATATATATATATAAAGAAGTCTACTTCTTTTGATATGAGAAGTTTTTGAAATTCGGATATCATTTTCCTTCCATAAAGATATTCATGGAAATGCATGGATTTCAAAGATTGTTTGCAACAAATAAAGTTATCTTTTAATTCATTTTTGATGCATATACATTATATATACATAAGATCTCTTTCCTTATTTGCAAGGCAGAGTGACAGAGAGGGGAGAGAGAGAGAGAGAGAGCGCTCATCCATCTCCTGATTCACTTCCCAAATGGCCACCATAGTTGGGACTGGGCCACATGGAAGCCAGGAGCCAGGGGCTCCATCTGGGTCTCCCATGTGGCGGGCAGGGACCCAAGCACTTGGCCCATCATCTATGGCCTCCTGGATGCATTGGAAGCGCAATGTAGCAGCACCTCAAATGAGGCGCTCCCTTCTAGGGTATAGATGTCCCAAGCAGCAGTGGCTTAACCCATTGCACCACAAGGGCCGCCCCTACCTTCGTATCTCTGCTTGGGCAGAACCCCGATTCAGCGGGGTCTCAGGTGCCCAGTGGGTGGGAGTTTAGACAAGCTCAGATCTCCGCACTTTAGGAAACCTGGAGAAAAGAACGTGATCTCTACATAGTCACTGACGTCCAGGGGCCCTTGGTGGTCTGAAGGGAGGCCAGGAGTGGAGTAAGGGGCTATCTGGGTTTGGATTCCCCAGACGTAGATCTGCAGCAAAGACTGGAGATATCCCTGGTCGACATGAGCCGAAACGCAGAGGGAGTTTGGGTGGGCACCCAGGGGGTCTGCTACCTTGTCCCCTCCCCTCTCCAGGTGAAGCTGGCCTCCTGGTCCAAGGAAAAGCCTGGGGGCTGGTACAGCACCTTCCGACGAGGGAAGAAGGTGGGTGCCCAGGGACTGAGCCGGGGGTCGTCAGAAACTGCTGGGAACCATGCGGGGGTGGGGGGGCAGGGAGGCTGGAGCAGGAGAAGAGGCTGCCACACTGGGCAGAGTGCCTGCAGGGCTTTGGAGGTAGTCGGATCTGTAGTCCGTGTGGAGCTGGAGGCAGAGTTCAGAGTTCTGGGTAGAGGTGAGTACGTGAGAGTCCTGGATTTGGGAGACCGAGTGGCCGCGATGCAGGGGGAGTCAGCTGGGCCAGGCGTGGGGGAGGGGGAGGGGCAGAGGGCATGGGAGGATGGCTCTTAGGCGTCGAGCTTGGATCTCTAGCTGGGGACATAGGGGAGGTGGCAGGCCCGGATGGACGGATGAGTGGAGGCTCTGGGAGGAGGTGTTGATGGGACAGCCCCCTCCCTCCCCAGTTCTCCTACGTGGACGCCGACGGGGCGCCGGTGAATGTGGTCCAGTTCACCTTTCTGAAGCTGCTGAGTGCCAGCGCCCGCCAGAGCTTCACCTACACCTGCCAGAACTCGGCTGCCTGGCTGGACGAGGCTGCGGGTGACCACAGCCGCTCCCTCCGCTTCCTCGGGGCCAACGGGGAGGAGCTGGCCTTCAACCAGACGGCAGCGGCCACTGTCAGTGTCCCTCATGATGGCTGCCGGGTAAGGGGGCGTGGCAGGGGCTGGCCAGGAGGGGGGAGGCGAGGCCTCTGCTGCCCTCTCGCTCGCTCACCCCCTGTGTCTTCTCGCCACCAGCTCCGGAAGGGACAGGCGAAGACCCTCTTGGAGTTCAGCTCTTCCCGAGTGGGCTTCCTGCCCCTGTGGGATGTGGCGGCCGTGGACTTCGGCCAGACGAACCAGAAGTTTGGGTTTGAACTGGGCCCTGTCTGCTTTAGCAGCTGAGGGTGGGAGGGGCTCTGAGGGAGCCCCACGTGGGGCACAATGGTGCTGAGGCTTTGAAGCCACCATATTTATCGTCTCCTGGGAAGACCCCGGAGCCAGCAGGTGTGACTGGGCTCATCGTGGTCAAAACGGAGGTCCTACTCCCTTCCAGGAGGCCGAGGGTTGGACTCCCTGGCTCAGGGTCCAGCCTCCCCCACCGCACTCGAGGTGGTTTAACTGTAGTCTGGCTTTCTCGTCTCCATCTGCACCCAACATTCAACTTCCACCTGACCCCATAGGACCCTCGTACAATAACCGACTCAGACCCTCCGCTCAGCCAATGCCTGCCCTCCCCTCCGTGCCCTTGAACGCCCTTTGGTGCTACCTTTGCCCAGAGTTAAGCACTGGATTTCTCCTGATCCCAGGCCGGACCCCTTTGCTCATTCCTCTTCCCAGGTGGGTCCGTGGTGAACAGATTGAAGTCAGACTGCAGAGGGAAGCGGCCCTTCCCTTGGCCAGGCTGTGTGTTCCCTCTGCTGCCTTGGCCCAGCTCTGCAGACTCCCCTCCCCCGCTGCCCGTTTCCCCAAGGTCACCTTGCCCTGCCAAATGGTTTGGGGACCAAGATGGTGGGGGTGAATCAGGATCCTAATGGTGCTGCCCTATTTATAGCCGGGTCTGTATTAAAAGGGAAAGAGCTCCTCTGTTGTGTATTGAATCTGCTTCCTCGGGAGAGAAGGCTAGAACATGATGGAAGAGATTCCAGCACAGCCCCCGGCCCTCGCCCCTTGGGCTGCAGGGCATAATTGGCATCTCAAGTCTGAGAATAAACCAACGAACTGTGTTCCTGTCTCTGTCTTTCATCTGGTGCTCGCCATCTCCCTCTAGGCTCTGGCTCTCGTCTCCCCTGTAAGGACTTGCCACTACCTATCTTCATGGACTTGGAGTGTCTTTGGGGAACTCAATTATGATGGCACTCAGTGGGCCTATTCACTAACCCAAGAGCCTAGAGGAAACAGCCAGCTGTCTACATTGACTATGGTCAATCCTGGACTCTCCAGGCTGGATCAGGAGTGGGGAACATCCAGCCCATGGGCCAAACAAGACCTGCAAAGCCATTTGGTTCTGGCCCTGCCAACGCAACAGCAGATGGGACTCAAAACTCAATAAAATCCATAGCTGGCTGATTTTTAAGTTGACATTTTGTATGGCCTTTGAATGATGTTGTAAATATCCAAACGGTCCTTGGCAGAAAAAAGCTTCCACACCCCTGGAGTATTAGGAGACGACAGCGACGTAGTTATGGTGTGGGGTGACAGGACAAGAGGTTATTGGTGTGGGTGGCGAGTTAGGGGGTGACTTGGAGGTAGAAGTGAGTTTGTAGTTGAGGACTGGGTTGAGTTGGAGGTTGGGTTGGTGAGTTCAATCTAGAACGAGGTAGGGATGAGTTGGAGATTGGCTCGAGACAGTGTGATGCTTGTCAGCTTTGTTCCTGTGGAGAAATATCTAAAGTAGCCAACTTCATCAGAGAAGAGGTCAGTTCAGCTCAGAGTTGTGGGAGTCTGAGGGCAGCAGCTTGGTCAATGGTGGGGGCCCTCCTGGTGACGTCACACATGTGGTGAATGACAATGGTGAGTGTGTGGGAGCAAGCGCTTTCCAGCCGGGAAGCAAAGAGACAGATAGAGAGACAGAGATAGAGACAGGGGAGGGACAGGTTTGATTTTTTTTTTTTTTGACAGGCAGAGTGGACAGTGTGAGAGAGAGAGACAGGGAGAAATGTCTTCCTTTACCGTTGGTTCACCCTCCAATGGCTGCTGCGGCTGGTGCACTGCGCTGATCCAAAGCCTGGAGCCAGGTACTTATCCTGGTCTCCCATGCAGGTGCAGGGCCCAAGCACTTGGGCCATCCTCCACTGCACTCCCGGGCCACAGCAGAGAGCTGGCCTGGAAGAGGGGCAACCGGGACAGAATCCGGTGCCCCAAATGGTACTAGAACCTGGGGTGGTGGTGCCACAGGCAGAGGATTAGTCTATTGAGCTGTGGCACTGGCCAGGTTTGATCTTTTTACAATAATCCTCTTGTGAGAATAGCTAAGGGGTTGCCTGAGAACCACCTTAATCCTTTCTGAGATCAGGATCTCCAGTGACCCAAAGCCCTAGCTCTTTTTATTATTTTTTAAAGACTTATTGATTTAGGGGCTGGCACAGTGGCACAGCAGGTTAATGCCCTGGCCTGAAGCACCCGCATCCCATATGGGTGCCGGTTTGAGATCCAGCTGCTCCTCTTCCGATCCAGCTCTCTGCTGTGGCCTGGGAAAACAGTAGAGGATGGCCCAAGTCCTTGGGCCTCTGCACCCATGTGGGCGACCTGGATGGAGCTCCTGACTCCTGGCTTTGGATCGGCACAAATCTGGCCGTTGCAGTCAATTGGGGAGTGAACCAGGGGATGGAAGACCCCTCTCTCTCTCTCTCTGTAACTCTTTCAAGTAAAAAATATTTTTTAAAAAGATTGATTGATTGATTCATTTATTTGAAAGGTGAAGTTACAGAGAGGAGCCCTACCTCTTAAAGGGTCCACCATTGCCCATAGACCCGTGGGGGCCACCACACCACAGGAGAACCACAGCAAGTGAGTTGAGTGCGTTCACGGTTGTGGACTGCAGATGGGCTCAGTGGGGTTGCTGGTTGGCTGATGGGGGTGTTGAGAGTTTAGAACTGGCTGTCAGCTTGAGTTCTGTTAGTGTTAACTTGAGAAGTTGGTTGTGGTGGATGAGGGTGGGGACTGGCAGTTCGGTAATTCAAGCTGAGATCAGTTATGACAAGAATTGGATTTAGGGTGACTTGAATTGAGGGTTCCATGTTGGGTTGAGGTTTTTTTTTCAAAGAAACAGATTCATTGAGGTATAATCCACATAACATATAATTCACCCATTCAAAGTGAATAATAGAGTGGTTTTTCATATTTTCACAGACTACTATAACCATCGCCACAATCAACTTTAGAATATTTTCATCATCCCTTCCAGGAAAAAAAAAAATATCCTGCATCGTTAGTAGTGACTCCTCATTTCTTCTGAACCAGTAACCCGCGTGCTGTCTGTGTGGAACTGCCTGTAGTCCTGCACAGTGCGGCTCTTTCTTCACAGTGGTCCCTGGGTTCCTGTTGTCGCATCAGTGCTCAGTCCTGTGCATTGTGGAACAGTGTCCCGTTGAATGGACTCACCCCATCTTGCTTAACCATTCATCAGCTGGCGGACGCTGTTGGGTTGGCTTTAGCTCCAAGTGATGCGGGACTGTTGCGAGTTGAGTTGGATCCAGTGGGAGGGGGTGAATAGAGGTTGGAGATGGGGGTGAATTTTCTTCCCAGAACCCAGGACTCGCTTACCCTAGTGCTGCCTCCAGGGCCTCCTTAGACCATCTGGGTCCTTGGCCTGGCACCTGTCATTCACTCAGTCCCTGCTGCCACGGGTCCTGTCCTCACTTACCCTTCTGCGTCTCTCGAGTATTTTCGCAATGCCAGGTGCTGTTTGTAGATGCTGGGGAGAGAAGGAAGATGTGGCAAAGAGGTAACACCCAAGTCAGCAGCTCTAGAGTGCAATTTCGTGGCTGTGAGGGAGAATCAAGCCAAGTACAGAGCAGAGAATGGAGGGGGGAGGGGCGGTCAGAGCAGGTGTCCCCAAGGTGACTTTTGTGTAGAAGCCTGAGAGAGGCTGGGGACAACCCAGGTGGAATCCTGAGGAGATGCAGTGGGACCTGAGAAAGCTTGTGGAGTGGCTGGCATTTGGGCTCACGGTCATGATCCGTGTCCTGTAGGCAGTGCCTGGGGTGGACGCCTTACCCTGGCTGCCGGCTCCGGCTTCTTACGGTGCAGACCCTGGAACACAGCAGTGGCTGCTCAGGTCACTGTGTCTCTACCACCTTACCTGGGAGACCTGGACTGAGTTCCGGGCTGCTGGCTTCAGTCTTCAGCCAGCACTGGCCTTTGTGGGCATTTTGCAGAGTGAACCAGCAGTTGGGAGTTCTCTGTGTGCCTCTCTATCTCAAATAACGGTAAAAACTCAAAAAGTTTATGGAAACATGGAATGAAAAGTCAAGTTTAGTTTGGTGTGAAAATATTTTTTTTGCAGTCCTCGCATACTTTTTCTATGAACTTTCTGAAATCCCCTCTTATACCATAGCTGGTGAAGAACCAGAAACCCCCAGACACAGATGAATGAACAAGTTTATCAACTTCTGGGAGCCAGCACTTACCAGAGTCAGATCTCTTAGCAACACGGGATGGTGAGGGACTCTCAGACAAGGGATTGGTGTTCCCTTGGTCAATTGTTTTTTAAAAAAAGGCTTATTTACTTGAAAAGCAATTGCCCTTTCTCCTGAGGAACCACTCAGCCCGCCTTGCGCCCCCCTGTGGACCACACCTCACGCCCATGTGACTGGTGGTCACCAGCGGCATTCCTTGTGGCTGTTCACTGAGAATCCACGTGCCCAGCCCTGCTCCTGAACTGTTTGCCTCATCGCAACCTGTGCGGAGAGATTCTGTTCTTTTCCCCGCTATGGTTTCAATATGGAGTGTCCCCAAGGCTTCACGTGTTCAATTGTAGCCCCCGTGGGCAGGTGCTCAGAGGGTGGGAATTTGATCGGACCGTGGTGTGTAGAGGTGGGACTTCTAGAAGGTGATTAGGTCATCAGGTATCTTTGTAAGAAGCGAGAGCGCCCAGAAGAGACACACGTGCACACACACACACACACACATGCATGTGCCTGCTCCCTGTCTCTCACCATGGGAGGCTCCATGCTGCCCCGGGACTCTGCCACCACCGGATGCGGCCCCATGACCTTGAACCTGCAGAACCTTGAGCCCAAACAAACTCTTGTCTTCCCACCTCGCCTGGGCTGGGCTGTTGCGCTGTTGGCACCAGGGAATGGGTGAAGATGTCCCCACTGGTGCAGAGGCGGAAAACCTGGCCCAGAATTCACAGCTAGAAAGTTAGAAAAATCCATGAGCAAATTTCTCCGTAAGCCCCTTCTCTTAGAGGAATGCTCGCCACAGCGCCGGCCCCTCCTGTGAGCTTTCATGAAGACTCTCTCCTTGGCCAAAAGCTCATTAACGAATGAGAGACGCAGCCTTGGAAAGGAAGGGTTCCCTGGCAAAGGTGTAGAAGGGAATTCTGAGCTTCGTTCTGCTCGTGCTGTTTACTTAGCAGCATTGTCAGCGCCGGGGGAAGGCTGCTGGGAAAACCCCCAGCTGATTTGCATATTCAGCAGCCATAATTAATCACATCGCTCATGCTTCCTGAGCAATTACTGACACCCACTGTTCCGTGCTGGGGGTGGGGTGGGGCGGGCAGCCAGTGTGGGAGTCCTGGAGGGGAGCCTGGCAGGTGTTCGCCCGGGCACACTGACAGTGCTAATTACACGCGTGGACCACAGGCTGTTTAACCACAGCAGGTCACAACCCAAACCCACGGCATGCTCCTTCCTCCCAACCCCCGGCACCCTCAACCTTGCACCTTGCCTTCGCCCTCCAGAACCACAAGCCGAAACGAACCTCTTTTCTTTACATCTCGCCCGGGCTGTGCTATTGTGTTATGGGCACCAGAAACTGGACGGAGACAAACCCCATGGGTGCAGAGGTGGAAACCCTCACCCAGAATTCAGAACTATAGAAAGTTAGGAAAAAATCCATGAGCACATTTCACCATGAGCACATTCTCCTCTTTAGAGGAATGCTTGCCATCTTTTTAAAGAAAGGTTGATTTATCTGGAAAGCAGAGGGAGAGAGAGATCTTCCATCTGCTGGTTCGCTCTTCAGATGGCCACCATGGCTGGGGCTGGGTCAGGCTTCA